ATATATACCTAATAAGAAATGAAATTTATTTAGTATCCAGTTCGGCCTCCTCGAACAATTTGAATATATTGTTCACGTCATTTTTCATACTTTTAGTTAATTGAACTAAATCTGTATCAGACTTATTATACATAATACAATTAGCTAACATCAACAATATATCTCTTTTCAATTGTTTAATCAGTTGATATTCTGGGGGTTCATTCTTCAGTTTAATTGACTTCAAAATGTTCTTTAAATCCTTTGGTTCATAGATGACTTCATGATAGTCAGGAGCCTCTTTGGAGTTAACTGGTTGCAAAAAGGGGGATGAAAATCTATGCGCCTGTATGTTATTTATTAAATTAACGGCAATGTGCTGGAACCTTTTATGTTGTTGAGGAGTAGATACTGATAATGACCGGGAACGCTTTCTGGATGATTGGGAACGCAATTCTTCTTTTGCATTGCTCTCTGATAATTTAGGTTCAGGGGTTTGAAAATTATTTGTAGAATCAACTGGAGTAGTCTTTCTATGTTCCCCTTTATCGTTCTTTGTATTCTTATCCCCAATTGGTTCTGCCTTTTCTTCTTGAAAGTCTTCCTGGACTTCTTCTTGTTGTTCTTCTTCAGCATTCTCTTTTTCTTCCTGGGCTCTTTGATCACCTTGTTCCTTCTGTGGCTCTTCTTCTGTTTCTTCTGTTTCTTCTGTTTCTTCTTTTTCTTCTTTTTCTCCTTCATTACTTTCATCTTGCTCTTCCTTCTCTTCCTGTTCTTCCCCTTCATTCTGCCCCTCCTGTGGTACTTCATCATCATCATCTTTTTTGCTTTCATTCTCTTCTTGTTCTTCGCTTCGTGACTCCTCTAAGTCTTTATCATCATTTTCAACTTCCACTTGCTCTGCTTTGTCTTCTTGTTCCTTCTCTAGAGGTTTTTCAAGACCTGTATTTTCTGCTGGTTCGTTAACTATATCATTATTCTCTTGTTTCTTAATGCTTTCAGCCTCTTGACCTTCTAAATCATTCCCAGCTTCTAATACAATTTCATCTTGTTTTTGTTCATCTTCTCCTTCTATATCTTCCAATTCATTCGTGACTTCTTTGTTAGCTCTTTCAATACTTTCAGTACCTTCTTGAAATTCGCTACCTTCGTTTTCTTCTTCTATAGTATACTTCTCGGTATTGGACGTATCTACTAGACTATCATTTTCACCTTCCTTTGATGCTACAGTTCCAGTTTCATCCATATGACTTCTATATATAATACCCAAGTCATCAATATTCTTTATAAGTAATTTTGCGTAATTCAATGTGGATGTCACAGCTATATTGCTTAATATGGCTTGAAATGCTTTGGCATTTGTTTCGATTTTTAATATGTCATCTGTTACTTGAACAAAATCAGCAATCTTTCTTTCTTTTATTAATACAACTAAAGTTGACTTGTCTACTTTAACATCTATAGGAGCCAGGTTGAACGCTTTTGTATAGGCCACAACCAATTCGTTCATTTTTGACAAAAATGCACCCAAGTCCAATTCAACGGTTGATTGACTTGTAAGCTCCGTCAACTCTTTAATTGAGCTATTAATTGTGGATACTATAATTATCAGTACAAGATCTTTATCAAGTGATTCTATAGCAGCCATTGTATTCCGTATCTGACCTTGTTTACTTGGTAAACCTTACGATCTTTTGAGCTTTATGAAAATTAATTTTGTGTAATACCAGTCTACTGAATATATAGCACCTACAATAGAGACTCGAAGGTCAAATTTTTGATAACCAGAATAATATTTTGTATTATGTCAAGACTAAATATGTACAATAAGTATAAAGAGTGCTCCATTCATTGCTTGAAAGAACACGAAGAAAAAGTTCGTTAAGTGACCTCATCCACATGAAATCAGCCTTTATTTTCATAATGAGCTATGCCCAAACAAATACATGTAATCACTAACGTTTTTGCATATTTTGCATCAATAAGGCACTACGTTTGGTTAGTATTTTTGTATATTCCAATTCGAAAGATACCACATGGTATCTTCATCTCATATCAAATTCTAGTATTTCTCAATAATTACTTACTTTTGTTCTTGGAATCTTTGACCAACTCTTTCACTGTGCTTCAAGAACTTTTCTGAACATTTGGTAATACATCCAGTTTCCTTGGTGGTCAAGTTGTTAGATGTAAAGTCGTTGACACAGTCATCGAAACATTTGGAGACTAAGTTTGAGTATAATCTCATGAAATCCTTCATTTGCTTTTGTTCAACAATTTGTTGGAACTCTTGTTGTTCCTTGACATTTAATTGGTCCATTTTTACTATTATGTCTTTTGAGTATTGGGTATATTTTTAAGATAACGTTAAATGAAACTCTTAGTATTGCTTTAGCAGGCTCGACGAGGACGAAAAATAAAAATTTGAAGGCAAGGTTATATACAGGTCATGATTTATGTCCCATATTATATAATCAGTCTATAAGGTATATACAAGTAGTCTATATGATGATGGCTATTAACAGTTGCATGATTGGGGGACACGAGGAAAAGGTATGACATCCTTGACATTTTCCATTGCTCCAAGATAGGAAAGTAATCTTTCAAAACCCATACCAAAACCACCATGTGGAACCGTACCATTGAGTCTGGTTGATAAATACCATTCCATTTCTTTTAAGTTCATATTTCTCCTCGTCATTTCTTGTACCAAGTTATTGTAGTTATGTTCTCTCATTGAGCCGCCAATTAGCTCTCCTATTTCCGGTAAAATCAAATCGTAGCATGCAACTGTTGGTCTGTCCGGATTGTAAACACTTGGATGAGATTTGGGCATGTAAAATGGCTTTTGAGATCTTGGGTAGTCAGTAATAAAAACTGGGGATTGGAAATGGGTGCTAGCAAGCCATTTTTCGTGTTCAGTCAGGATATCCTCACCCCAATTCAAGCGGTTTTTCAGTCTATTTTTATTCTTTATTTTGTTAATGATATCGATAGCATCAGAATAAGTTATGGAGGGCCATTTTTCAGGAGCCAAAATCGTGTTCCACCTGCTCTTCAATGTTTCAATTTCATCTTTCTTGAATCTAGAGCTTAGCAAATCAGTCGATTGCCCACTGAATTGTTCATTTACAGCTTCGGATTTCAATGCACTTGTGACGTATCTTATCATTTGTTCTGTGAAGTCAGTTAATTGACTGACATGGTCGACGTAGCACATTTCAGCCTCCAACATCCAGAATTCACTTAAATGACGATTTGTATTAGAATCTTCTGCTCTAAAACACGGGGTTAAAGTCCAAGCCCTATTTAAAGATAACGTCAATACCTCAAGATGAAGTTGAGTGGAAACAGTCAAGAAGGCAGGTTTACCAAAAAAATGCTCTTCCTGAACATTGCCATCCACAACGACTTCTTTTCTATGCAACTGCTCGATTTTGAATTGTTCACCTGCTCCTTCACAATCAGAGCTAGTAATCAACGGAGGTGTAGTTTTAGTGAAATTCTGACTATTGAAAAATTCCATTAATTTAGTTTCCATGAACGATCTAAAGCGCAACATAGAGGCCAATGATGCAGTTCTATGTCTCAAAGTTGGCAATCCTCTCAAGAATTGATACGTTTGGGTTTTCTTCTGAATAGGGTATGCATCTTCCACATCTCCTATAATATGGAGACTATGATCAATTGCCTCCGGATTATATAAAACTTCATATTTTTGAGTACCTTTAGATTCAATCCATTTTCCTACAACATTGATGCTTTGGCCCACCTTCAAGTGCAATTTGGAAAACGTAGATTCAGGATCCTGTAAGACAATACTTAAGTTATGAAACGTAGTTCCATCTGATAAGTCAATAAAACCTATATTTTTAAACTGACGGATAGATTTAATGTGCCCTTGAGTTGAAATGGTTGATTCAATACTAGGAGGTGCTATAAATAAATCTTTAATAGTAGGTTTTAACCCGCTGAAATATGCCTTGAAATTTAATGATACACATCTTGATGGCATCCGACCATGACTTGCACTAAGTATCCTCATCCCACCTAATGATGATTGGAAATACCTAGTAGTTAACTGTGAAAAATTTCGAGTCCTATTTATTATATCATCCTGCATGTGATGGACACCATAATAACCACTAAGATGATAAAGAATGTTGCAATATTAAACCCTTAGTTATCCAAACACATGCATTCCCATCATTCACATAGTGGTACATATGTATCACACGCAACTGATGATTTAGATTCAATTGTAAGTAAAGCTCAATCGATGGGTTTTACCCATTTTTGTCTTACAGAACATATGCCCCGGTTGGAAAATAAATTTCTTTATCCAGAAGAGATAGAGAAGAATTATTCTATTAAAGAATTGGATGATAACTTTAAACGTTATTTAGACCATGCTAAGAGATTACAGGAAAAGTATAATGCAGAAGGTGGTATGAAGATATTAATTGGATTTGAAGTTGAAGGCATAGATGAGTCCCATATTGAGTATAGTTCCAAGTCGATCATAGAAGAAAGTCCATATGTGAACATGTCGGTTGGATCAGTACATTACGTCAACCAAATACCAATTGATTTCTCAGCAAAGTTATGGGCCCAGGCTCGAGATTCAACTATAGATAAAACGACTAGATCTTTGTATAAGGCATATTTTGATCTCCAATACAAAGTTGTACTGAAACTAAAGCCACAAGTAATAGGGCATTTTGATTTAATTCGTCTATTTGAGCCTACAGATGAAATAGATGAAACAACACAGAAAGCTCTTAAAGATATCAATGTTGAGAGTGATTGGCCTGATGTATGGGAATCAATAGTTCGGAACATAAAATTTATTAATGACTATGGTGGTTTATTTGAATTGAACTCGGCCGCAATACGGAAAGGCTGGTCTTCACCTTATCCTAAAAAGGACATGTGTGATGCCATATTAAGGTATGGAAATGGAAAGTTTTGTCTTTCTGACGATTCACATTCGATAGCCCAAGTTGGTTTGAACTTTCATAAGGCATGGGAATATGCTAAAGATGTACTTAAGCTAGACTATATCTATTATTTGGATTTGGATGAGAATAAGAATACCGTTACTAGAAGAGAATTAATTCTGGAGTTAGATAAATCTACATTTTGGAACCAATACAAATGATTATATACATCTGTTTATTAATTAATATACCTATATTATCTCCTTATTATAATTACATGTCTAATATGATCTACCGAACATACAATAAGTCACAGCAGGCTTGTCACATTTAACACACTTTTGGCCGGACTTTAATTCTGGTTGGTCGTATGGAATACACAAGGATTTTGCACCCATTGATGGCGATTTTTCGTCAACCTCCTCTTCTTCACCATCGTCCTTCTTAGCAGAGGAATCCTTAATGTCGTCTTCACAGTCAGCATCACCACACCAAGGAGAAACAATGACGTTCTTAGCATTTAATGTTGGAACAAAGTCCTTCCAGTCGTGGACAAAGACACGGTGTTCATCGAAATCTTTACGGGCCTTTTCTAATAAACCAACTTGCATTTCTTGCAAAATTTCTGGAATGCGTTTCTCTAATTCATTTAATTTAACAGAATACTTCTGGTTGTTATCACGTCTAACAGCGGTGACTTGCTCAGAAGCTAAATCTTTAGGACCGAACTCTAAACGTAATGGGGTACCCTTCAATTCCCAGTCTGAGAATTTCCAGCCAGGAGAATAGTTATCCCTGTAATCACCAGTAACTCTGACATCGGTTTGCTTTAAGACATTTTCGATATGAGCGGCACCATCATTGATGGCCTTTCTTTGATCATCAGTGGTCTTAGCAGTTAAACCAACAGGAATAACTACAACTTGTGTTTGAGCAACACGAGGAGGTAAAACTAAACCCTTGTTGTCAGAATGAGTCATAACCATAACACCAATGACACGAGTAGACAAACCCCAGGAGTTTTGGAAAGCGTGCACTCTTGGCTTATCAGCACCTTCTGGATTTTCGACTGAAATGTTGAACATCTTAGAAAAGTTGGTTCCTAAATGATGGGAAGTAGCACCTTGAATACCTCTACCAGTAGCAGCAATAAAACCTTCACAAGTAGTAGTATAATCACCACCAGCAAACTTTTCGTTTTCGGTCTTCTTACCTTTAACAACAGGAACAGCCAACAATTCTTCGTAGATACCGGTGTATAAATCCAAAATCTGTTCAACTTCTTCAGCAGCACCTTCCTTAGTCAAATGAGCGGTGTGACCTTCTTGCCATAAGAATTCACGAGTTCTCAAAAATGGTTGTGGGTGTTTGAATTCCCATCTAACAACAGAGTTCCATTGATTCAACTTCAATGGCAAGTCTCTGTGAGATCTAATCCATTTAGCATAGTATGGATACATAACAGTTTCTGAAGTTGGTCTAATAGCAATGTGTTCATCTAATTCGGAGTTACCAGCACGAGTAACCCAAGCGACTTCTGGAGCAAACCCTTCAATATGATCTTTTTCCTTCTCTAAGACCCTAGAAGAGACGAACATTGGGAAGTATGAATTTTGCACTCCCATTTTCTTGATACGAGAGTTAAACCATTCTTGAATGGTTTCCCAAACAGAGTAAGAGTTTGGTCTTAAAATATAACAACCAGACACATCATAGTAATCCAACATTTCACCCTTGGTGACAACTTGGGAATACCAAGATGAGAAGTCCTTGGCCTTATCCACGGTAATACCAATCAATTTCGCATCTTCAAGCTTGGCTGCTTGTTTTTCCTTCTTCAAAGCATCTTTCTTGGATGTGTCTGCTGCTGGAGCTGGTTCGGCTGAAAAAGCAACAGAAACCACCTCAATGCCAGTAGAAACAAGATATTCGTTAAGAACCTTTGCAGAAATGCTAGCCTTGGACGAAGCTGTAGATAACTCTAAAACTGTATCATCTGAAGCCTTGGTGATGTTCTCATCAACTACGAGCTTAATCTTTCCAGCCAAATCCTTGTGTAAGTTCGCAATCGACACTTCTTTAGCTGAAACACTGAAAAATTCGCTTACCAAGTCGTCTTTAGCCAATCTAGGTTCCTTGACGCCAGCCGCCTTAGCAATAGCAGGAGATGGTGTCTGAGTGGTCTGCAAAGCGAAGACAACCACTGGAACTGGTGTGGCGGTCTTAGCCGTTTTAGGCTTGAAAACCAACGTTTTGGTAGGAACTGCGGATTCTGAAGAAACAGTCGCTAATGATAATGCTGCTAATGATTGTTCTAAAGCCATTTTAATGCTTTCACCTATGAATCATTACATGTCACATCTCATGAGTAACCGATTTTTCTATATGTCGAGTGCTAACCTGTAAACTTTGAAAATTATGATTTTTTTGATGATTTGCAGTTTAGATATTGGTCCTCTAATTACCCGCAATCATAGTTAATTTCAGTACAATATAATTTTTGAAATTTTATAGAACGATGAATCACACAGTATAAAGTAAATTTTATACTATTTTATTACAATCAAAGATAATATGTCTCAAGTATACGTTAACGAGAAGACGGGTTCTGACAGCGCCGATGTTAGTGGTTCGGAACAACAACCGTTCCAAACCCCAGCATTTGCATTGTTCAAGAACGAAGATGCTAAGATTTTCGTCTACAAACAATTAGAAGATTCAGAAGAATTTGGTTACAGTGAAATTTCTGCGTCGGCTTTAAAGAAGGCTAAAAAGGGAGCTGATGGATTGAAGAAAAAACAGGAAAAACAAGCTAAGTTACAGGAAGAACAGAAAAAGAAACAAGACGATGCGGCTAAAAAATTTGCAGAAATGGATTTGATCAGCATTAAGGAGGATGAATCGCTTCCAGAAGCCAAAAAAATCAAATTGGGAAAGATTCAGGACAACATTGGTACTAGAGTCGTTGTGCAAGGTTGGATTCACCGTTTGAGATTGCAAAAAGGCTTAGGTTTCATCACTTTGAGAGACGGTACTGGATTCATCCAATGTATATTGACTGGTGATTTAGCCAAATGCAAAACTACCCACGAACTTACTTTAGAGTCCACTGTCACCATCAAGGGTGTTATCAACAAATTGCCAGAAGGTAAATCTGCCCCAGGTGGTGTTGAATTGAAGGTAGATTATTACGAGGTTGTTGGCCTTGCTCCAAGCGGAGAAGAAGCTTTCAGTAACAAGGTTCAAGAAAACGCCGACCCATCATTATTATTAGATCAACGTCACTTGGCCTTAAGAGGTGAAAGTTTGTCTGCCGTCATGAAGGTCAGATCCACGTTACTCCAAGCCATCAGAAGATTCTTCGCTGAGGAAGGTCTTTTGGAAGTCACACCACCATGCATGGTTCAAACTCAAGTTGAAGGTGGTTCTACTTTATTCAAAATGGATTACTATGGTGAAGAAGCTTACTTAACTCAATCCTCTCAATTATACTTAGAAACTTGTTTACCAGCATTGGGTGACGTTTTCTGTGTTCAAGAATCTTTCCGTGCTGAAAAATCCCACACAAGAAGACATTTGTCCGAATATACTCACATTGAAAGTGAATTGGGATTCATAGAATTCGATGACTTATTAACACATCTTGAACGCTTAATTACCTACATCGTGAAGTATGTTCTTGAAGACCCAGTTGGTGGCCCATTAATCAAACAATTGAACCCTAACTTTGTTCCTCCTCAAATGCCTTTCAAGAGGATGGAATACATCCATGCATTGGACTGGTTGAACGAACACGGCATTCCAAACGAAGATGGTGAAAAATTCAAATTCGGTGATGATATAGCTGAAGCTGCTGAACGTAAGATGACCGACACTATTGGTGTTCCAATTTTGTTAATTCGTTTCCCAGTAGAAATTAAATCATTCTACATGCAAAAGTGCGCTGATGATCCAAGAGTCACCGAATCTGTTGATGTCTTGATGCCAAATGTCGGTGAAATCACCGGTGGTTCTATGAGAACTTACGATCACGATGAATTAGTCGCTGCCATTAAGAGAGAAGGTCTTGACTTAGATTCATACTACTGGTTTACTGATCAAAGAAAGTATGGTACATGCCCACACGGTGGTTATGGTTTAGGTACAGAAAGAATTTTAGCTTGGTTATGTGACAGATTCACCGTCAGAGATTGTTCCTTATACCCAAGATTCACTGGTAGATGTAAGCCATAGATAATTGCTTATAATAAGTAGTTTAATGTATAGATTTAATTAATATTATAACTGTTATGACTCAGCATATTGTATGAAACACGACTTCTTAAAACGGCAATTGTTAAGCGCGGTGATGAATCAGACTATCAGATAGTGTCCATAAATATCCATAATTTTTCATTAGAAATTTTTCACCTTTTATTAGTCTGTAAGGAATATAGGACAATATTAACTGAAAATGTCAAAAGAACAACCAGCTGAAAGTAAATTGTGGGGTGGTAGATTCACCGGTGCTACTGATCCATTAATGGACTTATACAATGCTTCATTGCCATATGACAAGAGAATGTTTGAAGCAGACTTAAATTGTACAAAAGTTTATACACAAGGATTAAATAAGATTGGGTTGATTAGTGATGAAGAGTTGGTGGCTATTCACAAAGGATTAGGCGAGATCCAAAAAGAATGGGAGGCTGGCACCTTTGTTGAAAAGCCTGGAGATGAAGATATTCACACTGCTAATGAAAGAAGATTAGGAGAAATTATTGGTAAACACATTGCAGGAAAAGTTCACACTGGTAGATCTAGAAATGACCAAGTTGCTACTGACATGAGAATCTATGTCCGTGAAAACTTGACCAAGTTGCTTGAATTTTTGGCAGGATTCATTAAGACCATTTCTAAGAGAGCCAAAGAAGAAATTGATGTTTTGATGCCAGGGTACACTCACTTGCAAAAAGCGCAACCTATTAGATGGTCTCATTGGTTATCCATGTATGCTACATATTTCACCGAAGATTACAAGAGATTGAAGCAAATCTTGGAAAGAGTCAACCAATGTCCCTTAGGTGCTGGTGCTTTAGCTGGTCATCCTTACGGTATCGATAGAGAATTTTTATCCCAAGGATTGGGTTTTGATTTCCCTATCGGTAACTCATTGACTGCTGTCAGTGATCGTGATTTTGTTGTTGAAACTTTATTCTGGTCAACTTTATTCATGAATCATATTTCTCGTTTCTCAGAAGATTTGATTATCTATTCAACAGGTGAATTTGGATTTGTTAAGTTAGCTGACGCTTACTCTACAGGTTCATCATTGATGCCACAGAAAAAAAATCCTGACTCCTTAGAATTATTGAGAGGTAAGTCGGGTCGTGTTTTCGGTTCCTTATCTGGTTTCTTGATGTCTATCAAGTCCATACCTTCTACTTATAACAAGGATATGCAAGAAGACAAGGAACCATTATTTGATGCCTTGACTACTGTTGAGCACTCCGTTTTAATTGCTACTGGTGTCATATCAACTTTAGCCATTAACAAAAACAAGATGAGAGAAGCTTTAACTATGGACATGTTGGCTACTGATTTAGCTGATTATTTGGTTAGAAAGGGAGTCCCATTCAGGGAAACCCATCATATTTCTGGTGAATGTGTTAGAGTTGCAGAGGATTTGAAATTATCCGGAATTGACAAGTTATCTTTACAACAATTCAAGGAAATCGATGAAAGATTCGGAGATGATGTTACGGATGTTTTTGATTTTGAAGTTAGTGTAGAAAGAAGAACTGCAATCGGTGGTACTGCTAAATCTGCTGTCTTAAAGCAATTTGATCAATTAGAAGCTGAATTAATATAATCACCCAAAATTTATTTGAACGAAAATATGGGATTCCGTTGACGCTATAGATAATTATATGATATTTAAGCTATACATTTGGAATATTTAGGTAGTCTCCATAATTGAATAATGCTATTATCGTTAAAAGCCTGGATTTAATTTTGAAATTGTTTTCGATATGAACGTCTTTTTCTTCTGACCATTCTTTATGTGTCTATCTCGATCTCCTTTTATATCATTATCACTTCTATCTTCATCTTCGTCTTCATTATCATTTTCGTCTTCATTTTTACTTTTATAGGGAACATCAACAATGCCTGCATTTATTAATTGAAGTCTAGAAAGCAACTCCTCTGATGCTTCAGGAAGGATACGTATTTTTGTAGCTGTCCTTGGTTTCAGATCTGTAATTTTTTTATCTGTAAGTTGACCAGCAAAAAGTACTTCATCTATATCGTAATCTTCTGGATCAATTTCATTTTCCTTATCCTTTTCATTATGATGCTCTTGGTTTATCCGTGACATAGCATTTGATTCATACGTTTGAGGAACGCCCTGCGTCATTGCCAAATCCAGGTCGTCCCCGAAAAGAATATACGCATATTCATTAGCTTTAGATTTGGAACTGTAATTAGGAATACATTCCGCTATTGGATATCCATTCAATGAATATTCTCCTGCATTACGCCTATTTTGAGTATTTTGTGAAGGGTAACTCAAGCTCCTCTTGAATTTTGACGTTTCTTTCAGTACATTATTCAAGTCTATGACTGGCTGCGAAACAATAGAGGTATTTGGTGTATTATTGTACCTTTTGAACCCCGTAGGTGAGTCTGTGTATGAATAAGTAGAGTTTTCACGGAAATCCGAATTTAATGTATCGCTGCCTTCGGATCTTCTTTGATAGACGGCGTTCTTAGGAAAGTATCCATGATCGATTGAGTCTGATCTCCTATGAAATATGCTTTTAGGTGAATGAGGATATGAAGTTTCGTTTGCATCCTTAGAATGACGCTTTGCTCTATTAAATGAATAACTGAAATTAAGCATATTCAACGAAACTTTTATCGAAACTTTCGCCTATCTAAGTTTCTTCTATTGTTTAAGTATCAAACGAGTTCGAAATACTTGAAATCTGTTGAAATCTACCACTCATTTATACTTCTAAATGGTTCTTGATCTAGGCATTAGTAATAGATTCTCTCCTCCCGTATACTATGCAAACTCAGCTAATGAACTGCCCTACTGCAATTTTATGTACATGCATGTACTATAAATGTGACCCCCCAAACTAACTGCCTTGGCTCCCTTTAGGGAAGGATCTAAACTTGATAAGCTCCCTGCAGTATAAACTACTGCTATGTCTAATGTCTAGCCTTATCATAGTATTTCTTGGGGTCAGGTCATCTATGGAAGGTCGTACGCAATTCCCCTATCTAATATAAAAAATTTTGTACATACTCTTTTGAAATCCTAATATACATCCTTACTAATAGCACCTTTCATTAAACTACCCTTATCATATCTAAGCTTCGAATGCAATAAATAGTCATCTTAACTTAATTTACGATTGATGATCCATTCGAACCTAAATCCAATTAGTATTTCGCAGCCATTCTAGTTCTCAAGAAATTGAACGGTGAAAGCACATAAGGATGATTCAAAACAATGAATTACCGAGGTAATATTCTTTGTATTAGTTTCCGAGTCATGCAAGGCATATTTAGAGAAATAATATCCCTTGAAATCGGATGTTTATTTAACGCTCCTCCACACTCAAACCTGCTTGAACCTGCGCCAACACGAATCATACTATAAATCCGCACATGGAATAGACGGCATTCAAAAACTTTTGGAGAAGACGTCAAATTTCTCTATACGGATCTGGCCTCCCTTACTTTTAGATGTCTAACGTGGGGCCAAACGCTAGCATCAAAAATGATGGTCTCGACCTTTCTCGGAAAAACAGTTTTGCAACACATTATTTGAAACATAGCGCTAAGATATGGACTACCACAGTTTCTTTTCTTTTCCTTTAATGCTTTTTTTACTGTTACTTCTTTAACAGAAATATTTACAGTTGATCAAATGAAATATACAGAACAATCAAAGATTGCAAAAATAGGAGGAATAAGTGGTAGAATGGTAAAAAATAATGATAGCTCGTCGGTCGCTTTGGCTTTAATTAATGTTAATAATGAATTGCAAAAACTTGAAACAAAAGATAAGAACAAGACAAAATATAGTGATGAGTTGTTGAATAAGATAAAGAAGATATATGACGATTTGATTAAGATGCTTCACAAATATCCTCAGTTTCCTTCGGAGGTAATAGATCACCAGGATTTGAATTTGTTCTATCCATTGATGAAATTAATCTCAATAAACCTAGCACGAGGACAGGATGTTAATGACTTGACAGACAAATTTGGAATGCTAATCTGGCACCACTTGAACCATCCTGTACTTTTTAGAAACTTGATGAAGCTATTGGGATCTCGAGACACCATAATGAAACAATTCTGTGAACTTATTTTGGAAATAGTTCCAAAGATACAAAAGGACGATTTTCTGTATGCCTATTGGTATACCAGGAAAGTCACAGACGGTCCTTCGGAAGATGTGAGAGACGAATGGTACGCAATTTCAATGGGGTTCGTCAAATTGATTACAGAAAATATTGAAGAATGGTACAATGTGTTCTTAGAATTAGAGTGTATGTGTAAGATATCTTCATTTACAAAAGACGATAATAAGAAATTGACTGATCTTTTGGTGTTATTAATAGAAGGGTTTGGGGCTCCATCAAAAAAGGAGTTATTAGCTTTAATGATTTCTACAATGGGACTTGTAGAAAATTTAGAATCGCTTTCACAGCAGGAGATTTCTAGTATTAACAAGAGATGCATTTCCAAAGTGGTTGAAACAGTCCGAAATACTCTAATATGGAATGATCCGTGTCTCATTTCTACTAAGAAGGTCATGTCTGCTCTTTCCAAAACGAGTAGTATCTCAATTAAGCTAGACCCGAAGCACTCGATTCTATTTATATTAGAGATCCTTGATCATGGTAATGACTTCAATTATTTGCATACGTACAATTTGCTCTCGTATCTCACAATGTCTTTGAGAAATTTGAATAACTTACTTTTGTATGGTAAACAGAATTTATACCTGCACTATAATCAGCTTAATTCAAAGATATCATTGACTGCTCTCTTAGCTAACTTGAATTATATTATTTCTTCGTCATTATTGAGTATTTATTCTGATAATGAAGAAATTCCTGATATCATTTCAGACAACTTCAATCAAACAAGATTACCACCTTTGCCAAAATCTGATTATTTTTTTGACAATTTTAATTATAAAGATGCATTTGATAATGATTTAAGTTTAACTAATAATAGTGGTAATACTATCAGACTAATGCACTGTCAATCAATAAATTTGAACCTATTGCTGCAAATACTTCAAGATGAGCTTTACGCGATCTCAATGATGAATACATACTCAGCCGACCAGGTTAATCTGAAATTAATTTTTCGATTGATAGATTTGATGTTCTCGTCATTGTTCCCATCCTTGGTATTTCTACAAAAATATGGTGATCATGACAGATTAGATACAAAATCAAATCAAGAAACAATTTTCAACATATACCACAAGCTAATTTCAGCTGACCTTAGATTTACACAGAATTCTTTGATGTGGGTATGCTTAATCAACTTTGCTAGTGATATCTGTTACTTTGACTTGAACTATGTCCCAATATTCGAGTCACTATTCAAATTTTTGGTTAACAAAACATCATCAAATACTGTATTGGAAGATGAGCTAGTCAAGAGTGCGTTTAAGTTTTTCTTCGCTACATTTAGCAATGAAGACATTGTTGATGGGATTAGTGGGTCAGCTTCTAAGATCGAGATGCCAACAAACTCCAATTTAGTCACTGTCGAAATTTCCTATGATGAATATAAATTTATGTATCCGTATCCCCAACAAAATCCAATCAACTCTAACCCAGATGGATTACGAATGGATTGTTTGACAACAAATGATCCGTATGTGAATGTTTCTCATACTTATCTGCATATGCAAGATCAAGCTGAGAATAAAAAACCCTACAATAATACCAATAACAATGATCTGTTATTTATATTTGAACCAGAAATTGCAAATGCATCAACCCCACTAAAGTCAAACTATGTCACTAATTTTGCAAGACAACAAAGTATTCATGTTGATCAATATGGTAGGGTTTAATCAGTTTTGTATGTCCATAAGTATTCTATTTTATAATATGATCCTATCTGCACGTGATGTATTGATGTACAAAAAAAAATTAAAACCTCATCTCTAAATTTTCAACTATTCAAGTAAGACATTTACAGAATAGACCAAATTATCAGACATGGTATTGAAATCTACTTCCGCAGGGAATGTCTCTGTATATCAAGTGTCAGGAAGTAATGTATCTCGTTCGTTACCTGATTGGATCGCCAAAAAAAGAAAGAGAGCTTTAAAAAACGACATAGAGTATCAAAATCGTATTGAATTAATTCAAGATTTCGAGTTTAGTGAAGCTTCTAATAAGATTAGAGTTACTCCAGATGGTCAGTATGCAATGGCTACTGGTACTTATAAGCCACAAATACATGTTTATGATTTTGCAAATTTATCATTGAAATTCGATAGACATACCGATTGTGAAAATGTCGATTTTCTTATTTTATCTAATGATTGGACCAAATCAGTTCACTTACAAAACGACAGGTCTATTGAGTTTCATACAAAAGGTGGTATTCACTATAGGTCTAGAATTCCAAAGTTTGGAAGAAGCATGGCCTATAATGCATCCAGCTGTGATTTATTGGTTGGTGCATCAGGTAATGAATTATACAGATTAAATTTAGATAAGGGTCGCTTCTTGAATCCTTACGTTCTAGACACGAAGGGTGGTGTTAACTCTGTTGATATCAATCCGGTTCACGGATTAGTTACAGCTGGTTTGGAAGATGGAACTGTTGAATTTTGGGATCCTAGAAGTAGACAAAGAGCAGCCAAATTATTTGTTGGAGATCAATTAAATGAAACCGTTGAGATTACTGCAACTTCTTTCCGTAACGATGGTTTAAATTTTGCATGTGGTACATCTAATGGTAAATCATTAATCTATGATTTGAGAACTTCAACACCTTCTATAATAAAGGATCAAGGTTATGGCTATGGTATCAAAAAGATAATATGGTTAGATGAGAACTCCTCAGATTCCAATAAAATCTTAACGACAGATAAAAGAATTGCCAAAATTTGGGATAGAAACGATGGTAAACCTTTCGCCTCGATGGAGCCAAGTGTAGATATTAATGATATTGAATATATTAAAAATTCAGGTATGTTTTTCATGGCAAATGAAGGAATGCCAATGCACACATACTACATTCCAAACTTAGGTCCTGCACCAAAATGGTGTTCATTCTTAGACAATGTTACTGAAGAATTAGAAGAAAAGCCATCAGATTCCGTCTATTCTAACTATAGATTCATTACTAGAGATGAAGTCTCCAAGTTAAATATATCACATTTAATCGGTTCCAAGGTTTTGCGTTCTTATATGCATGGTTTTTTCATTGATACTGAGTTGTATGATAAGGTTAACTTGATTGCTAATCCTAACTCTTATCGAGACCAGAGAGAAAGAGAAATTAGAAAAAGAATCGAAAAAGAAAGAGAATCCAGAATCAGATCTACAGGAGCTATTACTAATACAAAGATTAAAGTTAATAAAGATTTGGCCTCTAAATTACAAGAAAAGAAAGGCTCCACCGATGCCGAAACCGTTATTAATGATGATCGTTTCAAGGAAATGTTCGAAAATCCAGAGTTTGCTATTGATGAACAATCTCATGAATATAAGCAACTTAATCCTGTTAAATCTACAAAAGATATTTCAGCGCCTGCTTTAACAGCTGCTGAAGAATCTGATGAAGAAAGATTAAACCTCAATAATGGAAATGCCAACGAATCCAGCTCGGATTCTGATTCTGAATCGGAAGAAGATGAAGAAGATGAAGAAACCAGAAAGTTACATAACCAAAAGGTTCAGAAGGAAATGGAGAAATTACGTCGTAAGAAACAAGCACAAGAAGAATCTAACCGCTTTATGAATGAGATGAAGGCTATGACAGAGGATAACACTAAGCAAAAAGCTGTTGAATCTTTTGGTTCTCAATTACTGAAGAATAGTAAAATTCAAAAGCCAAAGCATTCCAACAATGACTCTAGATTGCGTCGTCATGCCAGAGGAGAAGCCGAGCTCACTTTTGTTCCCCAAAAGCTGGAGAAAAAGCCAAAAGTTAGGTTTGAATCTGACAACTCAGAAGATCCCGAAAGCCTCAAAAATTCTGGAAGAACAAAGCAAAGATTTGATGGACGTAGAAGAGCCTCTAAGAATGCTTTCCGTGGTATGTAGGTCAGTATCATCAATTTGTACATTATATAAAGTGATTAATCTTCATAGTTAATAAAATGCATAGTTATCTCATCTCATAATATACAGGAATGACATTATTCTTATTTAGTTAGATATCATTAAAGCAGTACATAACTTGATTTTTCAACGACTAATGTCAAGAAACACGGAAAAGGCACAATCGTCCTTGAATAGATTTCAAGCTTTGAAAAACAAGGAGGCTGGTATCCTTGAGAGTAATCCAAATCTCAGGCCAAAATATGTTCAATCTGTTGACTCATTGCCTCAAGCAGAAAAATGGAGATCAACCATCATTGGTGAAATATCGGTAAAACTTACAAAGATTCAAGACCCAGCACTAAATGAATACCAAATACGGGATGTTAATGATTCATTAAATAAATTATTCAATGAAAAAAAGTCTTGGGAGTATCATATTAAAAACCTTGGAGGTGCAGATTACATACATTTCAATAAAGATTTTAACAATGCAGGTAAGCTAAGTCAGTTAGATTCCCAGGGAAGTCATATAAAAGGCTATAGATACTTTGGAAGAGCCAAGGAATTACCAGATGTAAAAGAAGTGCTAATGATGCAAGCGAAGAAAAGCCAGGCCAATAAATCGAAACGTACCAAAGAATTGGAACAAAATAGACTATTGAACGAACAAGAGAAGAGAATAACGGCCGATTATTATGGAGTTTATGACGAAATTCATGATGGTAATGATGATATAATCGACAGCAACGAAAGAGATATTATAAATCAAGTCAATGAGGTGTTAGGAGATGAAATAATAGTGCCACTTGATGACATAAACGAAAATTATATAGCCAAAAGGGCACAGGGAGTAGACAATCTCATTGAATTTGAAAAGAATAGAGGCAAAAGAATGTTCAGAAAACTCAAGAACAATCAACAAAATGGCAATAAAGACTCAAGTGTTATAACGAATTTTGAAAAGGAAGTACCTACAACTGATGAGGTTACCAAATGGATTGTGAATAAAAAGAGAGCGGAGCTAATCGCACGATTAGGAATAAATAAGCCATAAATAGAGAGAATTATTTATGTTAATTAAACTATAAATCCTCTGTTGATATAATTTTCACATTTCCAGTAGCATATATTTTATCTGTAGCCGATTCTTTGTCTGGAAAAACACTTTTGCAATACTCCTTAATTACATATGTATTAAATCCAGCCTTTGCACAATCAAGAGCTGAATTCAAAACGCAAAAGTCGTAAGCTATTCCGACAAACACTACATCCGTGATACCAAGATTTCGCAAATAATCTTCGATTTCAGTCTTGTGTAGTTTCCAACAATCTTCAAAACAAGAGTAGTATTCCCTATCTTTCAAGTATCCCTTCTTTACAATTGTGCTAGGAACCTTCGGGTCTAACTGATTAAACGCAGCTTCAAACTGCAGATCAAGCTTAGAACCAAACGAATTCTGAATGCAATGATCGGGCCAAACGACCTGTTTCTGCCTTTTTACTTCACCATTACTATCCTTTTCTCCAAGAGGGTGCTTAAATTCCATCTCTGAATAAGGAGAAACATTATGTTGCGATGCAAATGAACAATGATCTTTTGGGTGCCAATCTTGAGTTGCAATCACTGCTGACCACCGGTATTTTTCAGTATCGAGCAATCCATTTATTAACGGAACGATGGACCTTCCTTCAGCTACAGCCAATGATCCATTATCTGGTAAGAAGTCCTCTTGCAAATCTACTACTACTAAAGCTGTTGTGCCTTTCATGGTGCTTTACACCTTGAAATTCAATATTACCTTGATAATCAATCCCACTTTTTCAAGTAGTACTATCTACACGTGATTTTTATCGAAATATACTATGTATTTAGATTCTTTCATCATCGGGCTTCCAACTACCCAGAAACATATGTTTAGCATAGGCCAATGGGTGGGATGTGTCCTTGGCACCCATCTGTCCAACATCTGGACTGAAGGAAGTGATAGGCAATACTAGCACATCCTGAACTGTCACTGGAACTGTCATACCGGTGAAAACAGATACATTGATTATATCGTCATATTTCCTTGTTTTGAAATTATCTGGCAATTGTGAGATGTTGTTCATGTATTCGAAAACTACGTCTGTCCATATACCGGGACCAGTCCAGTTCATTATATCTCCACCAGCATCCTTACCAAGAATTTTCTTTAATTGGCCATTCTTTTCTCTTGTTAATGTAATTTCCGTGATTCGAGAAATCAATTCTCTTAACATCGGATGACCTCTCTTTGCCTGAATGGTCCACTGACAGAACTGTATTCTTCTCGCATACCAATCAGCCCAATCTTCTCTATCGGGATCTGCCTCTATACCAACTACTAATCCTGCCATATTTGGTAAGCCGTTAACAGTTTCATTCATGGATACCCAAGTATCTATTGGTTTGATACTAACGGTATCAATATCCGTATATAATCCTCCTTTCGCATATAAAATCAAATATCTGAAGAAATCCGCCTTCAAGATACTTTTGGGCATAATATTATAAGCCCTAGCAACGTCTGGAACTGTGGCATATAATTGATTAATTAACTGTTCACATGATTCGTCTGGGATCACATAATGCTTGTACCCTGGGTTCTTATCATCCCATGTAGCTTGGTACTTTTTATATTTCTTAGGAAAATTTGGATGTTCAATGGGTACCTTCCATGTTTGCCAAATATTCTTCTGGAATGGTTTCGTTGGTTCATATGGAAATTGAAATGATAATTGCTGTCTCAATGTAGCACGCTCTGGTAAATTAGCCCTTACGTTAGAATGAAAATTGAACCCATATTTAAGCCAGTTTGTATGGAGTTCCAAGTCTCTAGTCGTTTCCAAGCTATTGGTTTGAAACTCTGTTTTCGATTTATATTTCGGCAACGAAAATGAATTACAAAATAAATATATTAGATATAATATGGCGACAACCTTCACTATTACCTCTATCCTTTTCTTTATCATAATTCTTATCGTCGTTTTCGTTTTAATTGATACCTTATTATCGTTCAGACGACGTAGAAATATTGAAATACTAGATCTGCGTGTATGAACCGCGAATAAGTAGTACGAGTTATGTGTGAATGGGCTATAGACAATAAAGTATAAAGTATCTAGTATTATCTTCGAGAATAAGGGCATGGAGTATCGAATAACACGAGTGATAATGCCTACAAAATATGCAACTAATAATAATATAATAATAATGATAAATATATATACACAATAGATATATATACACTTTAATAATGCATTTCAACAACAAATATAAATAACCCAATGTCTAAATCCAAAATATTAACTTATAAATAAGAAATTCAACTTTAAAAACCCCAACTCAAGAAAATAAAAAAGATTTATAAGTAACCCATTAATAACTTTTCTATAATGTTTTTTTATTCTCTCTGATAAAATATTTTCTTTCTTTCATTCATTCAATAAAAGATACTATACAACACATCTCTGGTGACAAACAATTGGAATTGAGCTCCTATTCTCGATGATTAGTAGTTCATGATAACAACAATGGCAAATAACAATAAAATCAAACTAGAACGCAACTCCAAATATCAAACGTATAAAAAAACCAACAAACAAAAACAATGTTTAATTAAAAATATTTTAATTAATAATAAGATGGAAGCAAAAAAACATAAGTGATTAATGCAAAACAACTAAACAAAAATCTTCTCCTTTTCCTTTTCTTAACAAATAGTAAGATTGAGACATCGAAAGGTAACAACGAAATGCACAGCAAAGTGAATTCAACATAACAAAAATCAAGCAACATTCTAAAAAAATCATGCCGATAAAAATAACCAATAAAAAAAATTGATAAACACCCGACTGAGTGAATATCTAAGTAGTAACTTATGGTGTAACTTACCACCAAGAGTTACTGGCCGATGGGTTACCGTAATTAGACGAACTGTAACCGTTACTACGGCCACTGTATCCAGAATAGCCGCCGTTGTTAGAAGCACCCCAGCCACCGCTGCTGCTGCTGCTGCTGCTGTTACCCCAGTTAGAAGAGCTGGAGCCACCGAAGCCGCCACCTTGCTTTCTGAAATCTCTGGAAGGACCTCTACCGCCACGGGTACTACCTCCACGCATACTCTTTCCACCAAAAGCGGATTCTCTAGCAATCTTGCTCAAGAAATCTGGAACTTCTTGGTTAGCCTCAGTCAATAAATCAACTAAACCCTTGACAATGTTTTTGTTATTTCTGTTGAAGAAAGCGGTAGCAATACCAATGTTACCGGCACGACCAGTACGACCGATTCTATGAACGTAATCATCAATATCACTTGGTAAATCAAAGTTGACGATATGGGAAACATTTGGAATATCCAAACCTCTGGCAGCGACAGCAGTAGCAACCAAGATTGGTGCAGAACCAGTCTTGAAAGCAGCTAAAGCCTTTTCTCTTTCGTATTGCGATCTGTCACCATGGATTGCAGTAGCTGGGAATCCTTGGTCGTATAAGAAGTCAGCTAAGTTATCAGCCATTCTCTTGGTTTCAGTGAAAATGATAGTCAAACCATTGTCGTTTGCAGATAATAAGTCTAACAAGACTGATTTCTTTTCTTCGTCTTCAACGTATAAGATCTTTTGAGTAATATTTTCGGAAGTAGAACCAACACGACCAACAGATAAGAAAATGTATTCTTTCAAGAAATCACGAGCCAAGTATTGAATTTCCTTAGGGAAGGTGGCTGAAAACATCAAGGTTTGTCTGTCTTCAACACCAGGCATGTCACATTCTTGGACAATGTGTCTGATTTGTGGTTCGAAACCCATATCCAACATTCTATCAGCTTCATCTAACACCAAGTATTTAATGTTAGCTAAGGATACACGGCCTCTTTCCAATAAATCCTTAAGACGACCTGGAGTAGCAACTAATAAGTCACATCCTCTTTCCAAGTTTCTGATTTGGCCACCAATATCAGCACCACCGTAAACAACACTTGGACGAACCCACGATCTGTATGAGAACTTCTTGGCTTCGTCGAAAATTTGCGACACCAATTCTCTGGTTGGAGCCATCACTAACGCAGTAGGATAAACCTTGTGCGAGGAGAAAGCACCAGCGGTCTCTGGAACAGAAGCTGGTCCGTTCATGTACGATTCAGACAACACTGGGAACAAAAAACCACCAGTCTTACCCGAACCAGTTTGAGCACACGCCATCAAATCTCTACCGGCAGCAACAATAGGCACCGAGTACTTTTGCACAGGCGTAGGCTTTGTGAATCTGGATAACTTGACGTTTTCCACCAACAATGGGTCCAATGGTGGTGCTGTGAACGCGGTGATAGGTTCCGGCACTCCTTCACCAGATGCCTCAACTGGAATGTCATCGTAGTTGTCGAAATTAATACCTGAAGATTGGGTGGTTGGCTCATCGTCAACACCGTACAACTCTTTTTCCAATCTGTCGTTTCTTTCTGCTGGCTCGTGTTTGCCATCGACCCATCTACCAACACCTGGCTTAGGCGTGTTGTATCTGCCTGACCCGCGCGAGTTGTTGAACCCTCCACGGCGGTTATTATATCCTCCAAAAGAGTTATTATTATTACTATATCCTCCACGACGGTTGTTATCATATCCTCCAAAAGAGTTATTATTAAATCCACCACGACGGTTTCCGCCAAAAGATCCATTTCCGCCTGAAGGTCTGTTACGAAGATGAGGTGGAACATACTGCGAGCGGGATGATCCATTACCTTGCGAACCTTGTTCAACTGAAAGGTTGTTCATTTGTTGAGTAATATCTGCCATATTATGTCTTAATAAGGTATGTTTTTACTATAAATTGTATAATAATAAAGAAGAACAGTATAAAGGCGAAGAAAAGAATCTTTTATAAGACCTTTGACTATTTTTTCCGTCGTTTCAGACACGACTGATTTCTTTTTTTGTTGGAAAATTTTCTTTCTTTTTATTGTTAGTTTCACGTGATGATAATGATTTCTTATCATAGGATGGATGGATGGATAGAAGGTGATTTCATGGGTTAGGGGATTGAGCGTCGCGTACATGATGTTTAGGATACATGGTAAGGGTGTCGGACTCGGTAGATGTAGGAGACGAAAAATTGGACATGGAGGACGAGCCGTTGAGCGATATTTTTGCATTCGGGTGTGCGAAGCAGGGACGGTCTTCGAATGTTCCGTAGGTAGGGGGGGTCTCCAAGCCTTCATCAGGCGAAGGGACGAAGGGGATGTCTTCTTCGGAAAGAGAGGAGTCTTCTTCGTCGGTGTAGTCGATGTCAAACTCGTCTGAGGCGACAGAGAGGTCGTTGATGTGCGAGGGAAGGTTTGCGGGCGAGCTGTCGTACATTTTCTTGTTGTTTTCGCTGAGAAGGTGGGTGAAGGGCTTTTGCTGCTCTCTGGCGTTCCAGTTCAAGTTGCGGCTGACACTGTCGATGTATTCGGTTTTGGACGAGATGACGGTGGGGAAGGGGAACGGACTTGCGTGGATGGTGACATAGTCGCCCTTGCGCAACTCGGTTCTGACCTTACCGTCAAACGACGCCCACGCCGTGGACCTACTGGTGCTGGGGACCTTCACCTTGAGGAACATGCCGTCAGGCAACAAGATGGGACGGAAAGAAAGGGTGTGAGGGCAGATAGGCGTAACGCTTATGGCACTGACCCCGGGGTGTACAAGAGACCCACCGGCCGAGAGCGAGTACGCAGTAGATCCGGTGGGGGTAGCGATGATGAGCCCATCTGCCTGTGCCACCGTTAACAACGAGCCATCTCCGTACAATTCAAGCTGAGTCACATACGGGCTGGGGCCTCTGTCCACCACTAACTCATTCAAGACCTGTTGTTCGCAGAGAAGCTTCCCATCGGCTCTGTGAACACGACAGGTGAACCTCATTCTCAAGTAGGCACGTACACCGGCGTCCAACACGTTGGACATTCTCTCTCTGAACTGTTCGAATTTGAAGTTTGTCAAAAATCCTAATGAACCGAGTGCAAAGGAAATCACCGGTGGTACCACTCGTTGGAAAAGATTCGATACATACAAGACCGTCCCATCTCCACCCAATGTAACCACCAAGTCGAATTTCTGAGGATTTTGGAATGCAAACTTTTTGTCCCAGTATTTGACATATTTCTTTGCCTTAGGAACAGTTTCGTATAAATTAGCGGCATTGAATCGTTTCAGTTTCTGTAAGTTACGATCCACGTAGACCATAATGTCTTTGTTTTTCGCCAATAAATAGTCGACTATCTCTCTGGTCAAATAAATTAATGAGTTATCTCTTGCCTTCGTTACTATCATTATTGCCTTCACTTCTAGCTGAATTGTGGCCTTCGCCAAGTTTTTGGCCAACATACGAACCCCATTAGCTGTTTCCGCCAACTCCGTGTGTGATTTGACAGAGCGCAAATCATCTGTGCCCAATTTCAGTAGCACGCTAGACGATACTTGTCTTAATTTCACATTCTTCTTCACTTGATCACAGTATAGCTTATTATGTATCATGGGGGCTTCCCTGTTCAATGCATTATTCTCTTCTTCCCAAGGACTTTTACTCAACTTGTTTGAATTGAGCGACTTTTTGTTTGATTTGTTTCCCCGTAATCCCTGAGTTAATTGGCTGTGGTGTGGTTCCAAGCCATACTTTGACATATTCAGTAGTAGCAGGGTCTTTTATTAGTTGGATATATTAAATTTGTCGATTAGAGTCACAATTAGAAAGTATCAATAAGTTTTATTAATTAACGGAGAACGTTGATGGCTACGAAAAAGATTAGTAGCGAGCTCGGAGAGAAAAAAATCCGGAGATTCATATTTCCATATTTATCACTACAAAATATTCCGATCTATTATTTCTTAGCGGTTTGTTCATCTATTAGCTTCCCTAGATTGGGAAAGCCGGGTTTATATTTTAAATAGTATTTCAAAAATTCAGAGCTATAATCTAATTAACTTGTTCAACTCTACATTTCCATTTTGAATTGGTCTTATCTAATAAAGGTAACGAAGCACCCAAGCACCAACCCAATTCATTATTGTCTATCTTCTCGGCGGTTCTTAATTCTCTGTGGAATGGAATATCATAACCGGTGTGCAACATGGCGGTAATGAAGGATAAATCTAAGCACCAATGAGGTTCTTCATTTAATTCCTTGACATGCTCATCTAATAAGACATCTTTCCAAAGTTGGTCACCATTACAAACAACCTTAGCCAATTCGGATAATTCTTCAACTGTGAATGAAGATGGGAATCCTAATGGGTTGGTTCTATCGTAGAAATAGGAGAAAACGTACATGTCAGAGGATTTTTTGAAGGTCTTGGTCAACGAAGGTTGATGGACACCATTGAATGAACATGGCTTAGTGGTACATTCAGCATCCTTGTTCAACACCTTTTCAGCAAGGAAGCGGCATTGGGCACCCGCGGCCACAGATGGACCCTTCATGTTGACAAGATAGTACTCTTCGTCGGCCATTTTAACTTGAACGTTTTCGGCTGTAACACCTGGAGGAATACATGGATTGTTGATAGTCACAGTGGCCTTAGCATCTTTCATCGCTTTTTCAGAGTTAAACTTAGCATTTGCTAATTCCTTGCTATTCTTCAACTTTGATTCAACCACCAATGCGTTGATCTTATTTCTTCCTTGCATCAAACCAAAACCTAAATGCGAGAATTGGTATAACGTGAAATCTCTGTCTCCAAAAGTAAATTGGTGCTTATATTCGCCGTCCACCATTTTTTCGTTGTTACCGAATTCTGGCTCAAATACAATCTGAGTAGATCCACCACCCAAATCAAACACGGCTGCGGTTGGAAGCTTTTCAGAGCTTCCAATATTACCCAATAAATAATTGGTGGTGATCCAGGCGTAGACACCTTCATCTTTACCATCCATTATGGAAATTCCTTCGTCTTCAACAACAGCAAATGGATAATCTTCTTCCAAGTGACGTCTGACTTCAGCCAAAGTATTCTTCGATTTTTCTTCTCCCAATAATCTCAACCCAGCAGTAGCCTTAACTGCAATTGGTGTACAGCCTTGTTTGGCCTTTGGAACAGTTTCCATGGCTGTTTTCAACAATGGATCCAACGAAGCAGCAGCACCCTTGGAGTCAGTATCAAATTGCGACAATCCTGGTTTCAACATCTCGAATTTCTCACTCAACAATACTGGTGGTGATTTACAAGTGTCAAATTCGTACACATGAACACGCGATCCTGTTGATCCTGCGTCAATCATCACCACATAATCAACCTCATTACAAGTATCTGAGCTACCTCCACTAGTACCCTTGCCTGCTTCTTTATCGCCTGAAATTTTGTTAGCATTATCGCCAACTTTGTTTTGACTTGATTTCTCACTAGCGCTCTTATCAGCCATCACCTTATTGTCTTTTCCACCAGTTTCTTGTTTAACCGGCACCTTTTTGTCATCCTGTGAGTATGGTGGCTGTTTGCCCTCATATGGCTTTCCCTGAAGAGTGTTTGACCCTTGCTCATGCTGAAAAATAGCATCTCCATTACTAGGTGTATTGACTCTTTGGACTGAATTACCAAATGAACTCTGCGACGTAGCAAAAAATAGGATCACAGCAAAGATTGCAAATACAGACACAATCACACGAACATTACGATTGGAAATCATTTTTAAATATGGTTGCTGTACGGCTATTTTAATGAAAAGAACACCTTTTCAGTTCATATTTACCAATGTTCTGTGTGCGTTTTTATCGCGAATTCTATTATCGCGTTGAAAAAAAATTTCTTGATGCTTATATAAGATTGCAAAATGGCAGTAGCACGATGCCATGGTAGACTGGAAGTCAAGTATATATGAAATACACATCCAGTCGATTATTTGACGAAGGCTGGTCGGATTGAGATCATTTTGATACAAAAAATATTCTGTATATGCGATGATTTAGCCAATGTAAATTTCAATTCTCAAGCAAACACTAGGCCCCAATCCCCAATAAAACTAGTAATGCTATCATTAGTAATGGTATGCGTTACTTAGATCTAGGCTCGTGCATAGATAAGATTCAATATTCACGCCATAGTTGGTATATCCGTTCAAATCAATGCAATAGCCATTATTTTGTATGGGGGTCTGGTGGTCGAGAGCTGTAGCATGACCAAAGAAGTTAATTATGCGGTTATTACTAAAAAGCAATGCATAGTAGCTAATGAACCCTAAATATCTCATGAGGAGAATATGAAGTGCTCATGCCCCTGTGGGCAAGGGAAACCCGTATAAAAGTGTATAAAAGAGCAGGTTCGATGTAAACATCAAAACCATCGTTAGAATCACGAGTATACAGAAATTATATTTAAAATGCTTAGTCGTTTAGGAATATGTCAATTAAGTTCGATGAGGACGTCAGTCCGCCCTGTGTGGAGAATGATGAGCACAACAACAACTAACTACAAGAGCATGGCCACAAATATGCGTGGGTCTAATGCATCGGTCAAGGGTAAGAGGACAGGTAAAGTGTTGGCACAAGGTAGCAAGGCCGAGGAATCACTCCAACAGAAACGGGTCCACGACAATTGGAGAGGCTACAAGAGTTTAGTGGATAAGGGAAGCAAAGTAGAGGCCGAGCAGGCTCGTCCTGACGATTCGTCATAAGTAGGGCAGCCACAAAGATCCAATGGGTGTTCGGCACTCATTAGTCGCAAAATTGCTGCAATTGCGCTTATATAGTATTTAATTGAATACATGTTTACTATGAACACATGAAATATCCGATATGTATAAAACCGTGTATCAATGACAGTAATTACCAGCCGATTTATAAGCAATGCTTGCAATCGAGTACACCCCATTGGAAGTCTTATCTTATGAGTAGCTCAATGGCTCAATAAGGTGAATCTTCATCAATCATAATAATACCCAGTAACATGAATTGTACCGTCTTATCCCACGCAGATGTCGCGCAACAGTCAACGGTCGCTAACTATGATCCGAAGTATCTATCTTACTTGCTATGAGCCACTTTCTGATTATTCTTTAAGCTTCTACAGCTTACATCATATGTACTGCATCTACTTCATTTTCGCTCTAGTATCAACTCCATACATTTTCACCACTGGATGCAACATTAATATCAGAAAATTCCACCATGGTAGTCCATACGAACATATGTGCTCCATATACATAGTTTGATAGATCGACCCATATCTTATGGTCAGATATAAGCTTCTAGTGAAAACCACATGCTATAAATATACTACATATGCTTACCAATGCCTGGATCTAAACTCACTTGCTACTTTAAAAAAATCACGTGTCATCCCTTAAGTATGTGAAATATAGTCACAATTGCCGCAACTGTTGCTGTCTAAGTGTCCCTATATAAGTAGGTGGATATGCTGCTATGGATAGAAATATTAAGTTTTTAAGATTCAAATCAATAATTCAATTGCATTAAACATGATTCGTCAATTAGCATTACGTCAAACAACTACTTTAAGAGCTGGTCTTGTTCCAGCCACTAGATACATTAGTACTACCCCAGCTAGATATTCCATCATTGGTAGTGCTAAGGAAGTCTTGCATAAGGCCAACAAAAAGATAGGTGAGGTTGCTGCAGAAGGTATCGATAAGACACAAAAGGCTGCCCCACATAGTGTTGGTGAAGCTGCGGAAAAGATAAACAAGAAGACCGGTGAAGTGCTTGCAGAAGGTATCGATAAGACCCAAAAGGCTGCTCCAGGTAGCGTTGGTGAAGCTGCAGAAAAGGTTAATAAGAAGACCGGTGAAGTGCTTGCAGAAGGTATTAAGAAAACTGAACAAGCTGGACATAAGGCTCGTGTTTCGCAAAACGCTAAGGGCTACGAAAGCTTACAGGATAAGGGTAGAAAGGCTGAAACCGAACAAAATCGTCCAGATGATGCTTTATAGGTTAGTATTAAGCTGGTCCAATAGTGTATATTAATACTATATTAATAAAGAAGTAAAACAATAAAATGTGTAGATAATAACGGCTGGCATCAACGTACGAGTATGTTGCAATAGCTTATTGTAGGGTATGCGTCTGTACAAATAGTGACTGAAATAATAATAAATAAGATATTTTTAAAATAACAAAGACTAAAATTACATAAATATAGAATTAAATATATACCTGATGGGCCCGAAAGAATTATTCAAGGCTGGAAGCTTTTGAAGTCATCAACTGACAATTTTTCTGGATTGTCGTGGTGTAGGTTGCCAGCGGGTTTTTCGGGGACGGGCACTTGCGTTAAGCTTGGATTTTGATTAGGCATTTGGGTTGATGGTTCAATTTGCTGTACTTTTCTTTCGATTACACCTAAATAGTTCAGTGGAACGTATCCAACTTTACCCTGTCTAGACCTCACCTTCCACCACTTGCTTTCATTGCCCATTGGATCTAATTTGGATAAGATCGCCACTAATTCATTTGGCTTCAATTCAATTTCTATGTTTGGATTTTCTGGGTTAAATTCATATAATGCTTTAGCAAATTGTAAGTTTGATGGGTTCACTGCTCCTGGTGCGCCTGCTCCTAGCATTTGCTGCTTACGTTGTTGTTGTTCGGCGATCTTTTGAATAGCCTTACTTAATAAGTACGGAAAGCCAATAGATGCAGCTAAAAATAATAATAAAGGCTTAAATGAAATTCTTGGTGGTTTACCACTTTGTTGCTTTCTAATGTTTTCTTCTAATTTCTTCTGGCCCTTTTCAAATTTGGAAAATTCCTTGACGCTGATTCCATAATCATATGTCTTACCGGTGATCTTGTAGAATATCTTCTTAGCAAATTTTATTACTGTGAATATACCTAGCAAGGAACCTAATGCATTTTTTAGATTGCCAAATTGTTCTGCAACCGAAATCATGGTGAAAAAGGATGAATGGGTGGCCATATATGTAGCTTCCAACATTTGTGCAAACCCCCCTACGGCTCCAATAATCGATTCAATAAGCTGAAATGTCGCCTGTGTACCTTCAGCTAATCCTCCTCCCATTCCTGGGCGCTGTTGGCCATACATTCCACCATATCCTCCCATACCTCCCATGCCGTATCCTCCCATTCCTCCCATTCCTCCCATACCTCCCATACCATACATTCCTGATCCATATCCACCTCCATACATAGAAGATCCTAAACCTCCACCATACATTGACGATCCATATCCTTCACCATACATTGAGGACCCTAATCCCCCTCCGTACATCGAAGATCCGTATCCCCCACCATATCTCGATCCTGTAGTAGATCCATATCCTGTACTACCATATGGGGATGTATTAGACATAGATGATAAATCTGATGTTAACGAAGTAGGCCGATCAGGTACTTGGGCTTGTGTAGATGAACTGTCAATTGTCGGGTTTGTTGTACTCCCGCCTATGCTATTCATATTGTCTCCAGTTGCTGTAGCTGATGAAGTACCAGAAGATACTTCCCAAGGCTTTGTTCTAGGAGCTGACATATTAACCTCTTATATGCTTTAACTTAATAGCCTATTCTTACTATATGAGTAGTTCTTTTGTACTGGGATATTGGTGAATTTTGTATGACGGCGGGTTAGCACGTGATGTGGAGTTGATTTTCTTTTTAGGTGATTGTTATCGGAGTGGTTTCGTCAGGGAAAAGACGATAGAAGGGGTGTTAGGGGTGAAATCGATGGTTGAAACTTGATATCACACATCTTCAGACCCGTAGCTACCTATCCATGTAGATAACTTGTGTGTTTGAGAGATGTATATTGTCTTACAAGTAAAACTATAGTGATAGTGAGCCTCGGTTAAATGGTTCGTGATATTCGTTAACAAATATACATGTAAAAAAAGTTTATAAACCTATGGTAAAGGTTCAGAAGAACTACTCAATCTATTCAAATGTAAGTAAACGTCAGTACCATAACCTTCCATGGAGATTAATTTCAAGTCTCCGCCAAAGTATTGCGAATACAATCTTGAAATTGGTAAACCATAACCGAACCCAGCCATTGGGGCTTTGAATGAACTTTGGCTGTATTCTGGTTCTAATGTAGGTGTCTGGCTGACAGTAGTGTATAAATATGTCCAAATCAATGGAACTTCACTTCTTGGGATACCACCACCTTCATCACTGATCTTGATAGCGATATCTTCGTAACCTTCAGAGATAATCACCTTTATAGGAGGAAACTTCAAATCGTTTATGTCTATGTCTTCAAGCAGCAATTCAGGGTCCTTCTGGCACATTTTTTCTTTTAATCTGGGCGTGTGGAATTCGATGGTTGCTCTCAATGAGTTTTTCAAGGTTTCGAATAACATGTGAATCAAATGACCCGGGACGTACATAAAGCTGATATCATTTTTAGGAGCAATCAATTGAATTTCTGGTGCTTCGAATAACCCGTAGTATTCTTCACAGATATATTTGGCTGTTTCGATGGCATCTTCGGCAATCTCTCCCACATTACAATCGGTACAAATAACCCCAACGTAGTTGGATCTCTTACTGGAACCACCGCCATTCTGGCCGTTCAAAAACGAGTTGATTTTCGCTTTTGTAGGAGATGTCTGGGATGAGTTCAATGCAATGTGCTGTCCAATTAACATTCTAATCCCAATTCTAGACATATAGAACCGGTCTAAAAACGTCTGGATCTGAGAATTAACAATTACCGTCTTGTGTTCGTTCTTCCACTCTTGTACCCCCTGTGCCATAGTGGCCACCGTCGCATCATGTCTCTTTTTGATCTTGGTTAACGCATCGCTTACTAGTTTGTTATAATCGTACACTTCCTTGGGCCAAACCACGTTAGTAGGGCACGATGTATAGTACGTTTTACCAAAAGTAGGTGACTCGCTTCTGCCCTTTGAGTTCGTGCTACGATCTGGTGACGACATATGTGAATGGGCTGACGATGTACGGACCACAATGCCATCGTCGCTGAAAATATTGTTGATAGCAACATTCTTCGATTCGCTGTTCGCAGGATTATGCGTTTCCGCTACAGTCTTCATGTCCTCTTGCAAAATGGGAGACATCGACGTGGCCTCGTCTATCCGGTGCTGTTTCTTGTCTGTCTGATGGCTATTCAACATCTCGGCCAACTCACTTGATATCTCTGGTTTGGCCAATTCGGTCAATTCTTGAAACGACTGGGCGTACCAATCTCTCACCTTCATTGTCGACGGCATCTTATTCAATCCATGGGGTGCATTTTCCAAGTTCTTCACTTTTATCGCTAGTCTGATAGGCAATTCTTCCACAATGAACTGTGACGCCAAAAAAACTGATCCTGGCGACGGAGTAGGCCCAAATTGCACCATCTGTCTCAACGAGATGGATGTCTGCTGGTACCCAGCATACTTAACGATCTGCTCTCGCAACGCTTTAGTTAATTCCCATCCAGTTCCCATATTATGTTGTTTCGGCTAGAATAATACGATTCGGATAAATCAACTAATAATGTATGGATTTTGAGGTACTATTCTAACTACTTTTCAATGTTATCCCCAGATTAATGTCCTGTGTTCTCATATTTACAATGGAAGGACTCCTTAATAGAGAAGCCTCGGTCATTCGGAACATTTGAATTTTTCGGTTTATCCACGATTCTCATTTGACTAATTTGGTTTATTTCCACGCTATTTCCGTGTTGTCTTGTGGTCATACTTCTAATCACGAGCTGGGTCATGTTCTTTATTTGTATTGTCTTCTTCTTCGATTCCACGGAGCGATTGGAGCTCCGGCGGTCCTAAAGCTACGTCAAGAGAAACCGCCGAGGTCTGGGGAAATATGTCCGCTCCGACTCCGAGGCAAGCTTGGATCGTCCTGGATCACACATTCATATAGTAGTATCTCAAAGAATTGGTGGGGTTGCCGGGTTTGGTGGAGGAATAGCCAGACCTATTAAGTGAGAGACATATGAAGTTGCGCAATGGGCAAGACTCACCCACGGCGGTATTTGTCCATCCGGGTGATATTATTATTCTATCTCTACAGACTACATCGTGGTTTGGGGCAGTACGATCGTCTCTAATTGTAAGTTGTAAGTTGAATATCTATTGTGAGTAGCACCGAATAACCGGCCAATGCGCTTGTCCGAGTGATTACGGGCCACTGGATTTACAAGTGAGTGAGTAACATGACTCAGGTACTGCACGAAACGACCCGTAATCAGTGCAATCAGCGTTCGATCTGCGAGTCAAAAATACCGAGGAGTAGACGTAATTCAGGACTGACGCAATCTTTTTCAATCGCCCGCAGCCCCGATGATTCAGGGAATTTTTTTCATGGTGACTCAAGCTTATCACTCCGGACACCCGGTCCGGGGTAGTAGTTACAGAAAAAGTATAAATATTAGTCCAACCCACCACAAATTGAAAATGAAATCTATTCTACATCAATTAACTAACAAACACAAGCTTCATACAAATTATAATGTCCGCTAGACAATTTTTAAACATTTCATCATACAAGACCGCATCTAGATGTTGGATACCAATAAAACAAATCAACTCTGGTGCTAGCAATAACTTGAGATTTTTCTCATCCAAGCAAAGATGTATTAACTTCAACAACTTACATGAAAGCAACTTGATTGCTAACGATGGTGTATTCACCAGTGCTGTTCATGAAGAATTAGAAACTACACCAGATTTTGAATCGTTTGAGCCTACTGTATTTTCTTCAGAGGAAATTCACACTGCTGGTCCAGTGAATAAGGCATAAGCTAAGTAAATTTATTTAGTCATATTTATTTCTGTGTATAATTTTAATTTATGAATCATGATATCAAAATTTCATGTAGATGATAGAGGGATGAATGGAAGGGATGCCACAGGGGAATGACGATTGCGAAAATGCATTACGGACAAAGGGTGGTAAGCGCACGATGGGACATAAATGAAAATTACCTTATCAGTTACTACTTCTTCAGGTGGTGAGAAAATTAATTTACAAATAATAGAACCAGTGATGTCAAATACGGTTAGAGTTGCATGTGGGCAATTATGCTCATCGTCTAACTTGCTGTCGAATGCAAATATTGTCAAAAAGTTGATCCGCAAGGCAGTGACGGCCAAGGCGAAGGTGTTATTCTTACCAGAAGCAACCGATTACATAGCCAAAGATGCTACCCAGTCGATGCAATTAGCACAGACGAGTCACGAAAGCTTCATATCAATCTTACAGAAGGAATTGAGGGACTTGTATGCGGATAATGGTGCTGGTCTATATGTTGCGGTGGGGGTCCACGAGCCTTCAAGCAGTATAGGGGTCAATGCTAAGGAAAATTTGAAGAAGGTGCTGAATAATCAACTTTGGATTGATAACAAAGGGGAAATATTACACAGGTACCAAAAGTTGCATCTTTTTGATATCAATATTGAAAATGGGCCGATTTTGAAGGAATCTAATTCGGTAGAACCGGGAAACAGTGTTTTAAAGCCATTTCCAATCAATAGCACAAGTTTATCTGAGTTCATAATAGGGTTTGCCACATGTTACGATATTAGATTTCCCGAATTGGGTTTACGGTTAAGGCGTTTAGGGGCAAATATCATTACGTATCCGTCAGCTTTCACTACAAAGACAGGCCAAGCCCATTGGGAACTATTAGGCAGGGCTAGAGCAGTAGACACCCAATGTTACGTGGTGATGGCTGCGCAATGCGGTGAACACAACACGGAGGGTGATAAAAAACGGATCAGCTACGGTAACTCAATTATCATCGATCCTTGGGGCAATAAAATAAGTGAATGCCGCAAGTACGACGATGAATTGAGCTTGGATGCCGATGGCGATTACTACGAAATGTGTGTGGCTGATCTAGACATCGATATCGTAAAAAAGACTAGAAGGGATATGCCATTGATGACCCATAGAAGGCCTGATGTATTTGGATATGAGGTATAGATTTGTAGGAATGAAAAGAGTACAAATAGTCATTTTCCATTAGTGTTATGTAGTAATGGACTTCTTGATATAACTGTTTGACCGTTTTATCGTCACCTATAAGTCACGCGACCCACATCGTCTGTCAGCTTCTAAGTCAGCTCGTGTATAATCATGTGTGAATGCTGTTATTTCGAAGATGAAAAGGGTATCTTGGCTATTATGCCATATTGGTAAGAATGATGGGTGCTCACGAAGTGAGTGACTATCATTTGTATGAGGAGCGGAGGTTGAAGGTTTCGCGATGAAGAGTTACGGGAAAGACAATGCTCGATAACTACGGGCCTAGCACACCCCCTACCAGTCACATTGATAGTGTTATCACCTTGGGGAAAGTACTTCCCGCTAGTTGTGGTGTATGCTGCAGATTGGTAATGCTCTGAGGTCAGACCTCATACCCATGGCCTAGGATCTGGCGCATTAAAATCAACGGCGGTGCATTTCGCAATCGGTACCAAAATTAAATTAATGGCTTTGAGCCCCTAAATAGCATGTCCATCTCCGACGCTTCTATACGTCAACATCGGTCTCTCATTCAATCGACCTGTAAACTACACAACAATAATAGATGCTTCGGGGTTTTAATCGTTACATCAGACCCCTCAACTCCCATCCCAAATTATCCCCCCTCCCCTAATAAATGGGCCAGTACTCCTATTCTCCTAATCAATAATTCGTGTTATTCGTCCTATACATGTATCTACCTATCCGGTAGTAGATCCGTAGCTACCTCTTCCCCCACCGCCCACCAAAATGGCGTTGGCCTAGGCCTCCCACGACTCGACTCGGCCTTCTATCAAGCCGTTCCCCTCGTGGCCGTTGACCGCCCTTATCTTCGGATTCTTCGCTCGGATTAATTCGCAATAACATAACCATCTCATTTTTAAGCCATATCACTGATAACATTATTGCTAGCAATCATGATGATGATAAATCATCTGCTTGATAACAGCCATGATTGTTGTCCATGTAACTATCTAATAATTTCGTCATAATGAACCCTTCTGTGGTCATAGTATAGCCTCCCGAACATCCATGTTCTCCGCTATTATAATCTAGAAACTAACATGAGGATAGTCGCAAAAAGAATGTTCGCAGAACCTTCTATACTACAGTTAGATAAATAAAATGTATCGTGAAACGTACAAAATATCTTTTCACAATAGCATCACAAGATATAATGCATATAGCTAATCTACTTTTATATTTTCCTCGTTGGGAAATCTTTACACATGCCACGCTTCTCAATATGCTAATATAAACTCATGTCTACACTCATGCTGCTCATACCTACCATATGAGAATATTCATTCCCCTACTCTACTACCCCTACTCTGTTACCCCTACTCTGTTATGCTTCACTTCTCGCACTCCACTCCCCCTAACTATTTTCCTCTTACCCCTACCTTTTTGTGCTGGTCGTTTAAGTGAGGAGTCAACCTATATTTATATTGAGGCTGTAAACAGACACAAAAGCGTTGTTTTTTGTAGGGGCTGTCAAGTCGCAGAGCGGAGAAATTGCGAAGAGGCCAACGGATTAATTTTAAGCGCCCAATTTTGAGCTCATCGGGGGGGTAAATTAGTGAGAAATTAGCCACTGCCCAGGGCGCGATTTTTACGTCTCCTCTCTTCTAGGCCAAATCGACTCACAATCGACTCACAAATTGAGCATCCACAAAGAGGCTATTTTGTTGAACATAAATTTTCCGCTTATATTTCGCAATCAAAAAATCTCCCCTCTTCTATACGAACCACTATTTATATCGGGCAAATGCACCAATTTCGATAGTATTGAGATATAAAAATATATTTAGATAACGGAATTTTGTTATATATTAAGATATATTATTAGTATATAATATATAAGTTGAAAACAGCACCCAGCAAAACATCGTTGTATAAAACCAGAAACGAACAATAGTATTGACGATTGATTTGACAATTAATATTAATACTAATAATAATATTGATCTTGATCTTGAATATCGGCTAATTGATATCAATTTCAGTGAATAATAGTTCCAAATCAAAGAAATATCCACATAATACATAGTACATTCAACAATGTTGAGATCGTTTTTTCGCTTAGCCAACACTAACAATGTCAAGACTAACACCATCACCATATTCCACGACTCAAATTCCAAGTTATCACATCACTTGTTGGGCAAGTTAACAGGATACAGCCAGTTGCCAAACACGTTCCACAGGACCAACGGTGTTGGATGGTTCCAGAACGCGAGTGCGCATCGCCAGAGCGCATCACCAGCAGGCATCATCTCAAATAAGTTCAATTTGGAATTGAAGATGAATCAGACGCCATCGTACCAGGACTACTACTTTATCCACGAACACTGCACTGACATACATCCTGACAACTGTACCAGTTTTGAAAAGAAGTTTCCATTCTTGTTTGAACTGCAAAATATCACTTTGTGCAACCAGACGGCCACGAAGCAGAACAAGCAGAAACGTTTTATCAACGACTTACAGTTATTACTGCAAGAGGATTACAACCAATTTTCTGAACAGAAAAACTTCTTCAAGGCGCCATTGATCATTGATTGGTCTAACAACTTGATTGCCGGTGATGATAAGGGGTTGGATCGTATCATGGCCAACTATTTAGCATGTGGCATCCAGGACTCTCACAAGAATGTCTTACACGAAGACTCTTTGGTGGAGGCTGAGATAATAGAGGAAAAGACCTCTTCTGGTGGTGACAATGATCACACTGATAATAATGCTAATAATGCAGGGTATGCGACTCAAGGCTCTCCTAGACGCACCAATTCCAGATATAACCGTAACGATATAATACACCCACACGTTGCAGAATTTGCAGATTTGTTTTAGCAACCTAATAGAATAATGATAGATTAATACGGCTGAGACTTCTACTTAATACTTAATATACTTACTAATTTCGAGATAAAACCCTCTGTAGACCTAGAAAGCGATAGATTTTCATCCTAATTCAATACAGAATAATAAAATGGCTATTCTAATTACAACGGAATATAAGGGAATATTATAATTGTTACCATATGTTAGTTATTCAATAACTGGCTTACTGATAAGGGTTTTGTGATTTATTTATAAATTTGCGACTATCGCTAATTTTTTAAAATGTCTAGATTCGCCTTGCTATGCTGCAGATCTATTGATAAATTTTTAAGATAATATGAGGACACCTAAATTGCACTTTATTAACTATTTAATAACTTAAATACCGAATGAAATTGTCATATAACTACATATTCTCTTAAATATAAGTTGCACTAATGTGTAAATTTAGAAACCCATTCTCTTGATTACATATTCTTGAGCCAAGACACCAAAACTCAAAGATAACCCGTCTTTGATCCAGTTTTTGACCCATTCGCTTGGATCAATATCATCAAACTCTTTGAATTCTTGAGACAGCTCACCACTTAACCATTTGGCCCATTTTAATGGGAATGGCTGCGTCTTTGTAATAATTGTTATATTGTTTGTAATATCTTTCAAAATTATTGTAAATGAAAATGAGTCAGAATTATTGGACTCAATTAATATTGGGCCCAGATCTTCTTCATTATCAATAGGATTAGTTTCATCTTGGTTACTCCTACTAGTTATTGGTTGTATTGAAATAAATATGTTAGACTTATTGATCTTATCAATTTCATCTTTAGAGTCTTTTGTTTCTTTTTCATCTTTGTCTTCAGACTTTTTATTTTGGTCGGGTTCAGAAGATTTCTTGTCTTCTTCTTCTGACAACTTTGTAATCTTTAAATAATCCTTGACCGAGCTTTCTAAGTTGGCTAAACACAACTTTTCGCCGTCAATTATCTTACCATAAAAGAGATTTAAATCAACTCTGTCTTTGTTCAATTCATCTTTATGATTGAAGTTATTGACACTAACATTAATTCCGCCTTCAACTTGGTTCATAACTTGGTTAAATTTGTCATAACATAATCTATCCAAGTAGTTTATGTTATATAAATCATAAATTAATAAGATATTCAATAATTCATCAGTATCAGACATAAGACCTTGGGTAATTTGCTGTGACATATTTAATAACATTGAATTTAATTTCGAGCTGATATTTATAATCTGCTCATGATCAGAATTTTCAATAAGCTTTTGTCTTTGTTGACTTATTTGGTTGGATGTTGTTGATGCCAAGTGATATGTTTGTTCACTGATGCTCTGAGCATTTGATGTAATCGATCCCCAGAATGATGAAACCTTGTTTGAACCCTCATTGTTCCACCATGTGGAAATTGAACCGATTGGATCAATTTCTTCTGTCTTATTCAGATCTGCATCACCTGTTGTAATCTCCTTTTTCTGTTCTGATTCGCCTTCCTTTACGTTGTCAGAGCTTTCAGCCAACTCCTTCTTTGCCGGTGATTCCTTTTCCTCCTTCAGCAGAGATTTTGACTCTTTTTCACTCAATTCGCCTTTTTTCTTTGGTTCAAATTTACTGTTTGGTTTTGGAGTAGAAGGCTTCGATTTTTCATGCGCTGCCAATTCATCCAAGAATTCGAGGAAGTCTTCATCCTTATCATTCACATCATTATTACTAGTTTCTTTGGGTTTAGGAGTACCTGATTTGGAGTCTGGTAATGAATTAATGAAGTCTAATACATCATCAGTATCATTAGTCTTAGTCTTTGGTGACATTGCTTGAAGTTATATTGTATGTTTATATGGACGAATAGTCAAATTGGAGATTTCTCAACGTCACTATTTAATCCTCAAGAAAAAAAAAAACTGAACTGAATTATTATTACTGGTGAATTAAATCAACTTAAATATGCATCCGCAGTTAGATAGAAATAGATTTGACCCATGCGAGAAGCTAATGGATGCATTAGAAGAATGCCATAGACAAGAATTTTTAAAGAAAGCATTAGGAATGTGCAACTTTGAGAAAGAAGAATTGACTAAATGCTTACATTATACGAGAGTGAATGATGCAAATGACAGAATTAGACAATCAAGAGAAAAGCAAAAGAAATTCGAAAAGAGAAGAAAAGAAAGTGAAGAAGAGTTATACGGAAAGAATAACTACTTAAAGCGTATTATCGAAAAGGAAGCTGAAAGCAAAGGCAAGCAATAAGGTGAATAGGAAATAGGAAATCAAAATTTGTAAATATAAATCTACCCATTTGGTAGTAGTCTAAAACATCAAGACTCAAAAGAGATGTCAATAAATATGCTAAATAAATACTACAATGTTGAAAGTAATGTTGAACGATTCTAATCTGTATTCACTATAAATGCACCATTTTAATCTTGACGAGTTTTCAAAACTCTCTTAGTAACACTATCTTTAGTAACAATATAAACAACGGCACCCCAACCAGACAACGCATCTCTGTCAACTGCGTTTAATAAGGATTGACTGATCGTTTCGAACAAATCTTCTGGTTCCAAATTTGGTTCGTACAACGATTCACACATACCATATAATTGGTCAGATGCAGTTCCACTGACTATGAAATCCTTAGCAAAATCAATACATCCGATCAAATCAAATCCACATATAAATGGTTCGCTCGTCTTGGAATCCAACCCTGCTACTATAGGACCAACAAAATATGGTCCGAATCTCTTTTCATACAACGTAGAACTAACCAAGTTTGCTAATGTTTTTGGCTCAATTTCTCTTTCCTCTCTTAACTTATATAAATTGTTCTTGAACCTAAAGGTTTCTGATAATGTAGTTACGTCTGTTGCCAACCCTGTCAACCCTAAAAATGTTTTATCTCCAAGTTGGAAAATCTTTTCAAAGTTATTCGATAAACCTAATGACTGATTTCCTAAACGTAAATCACAGGCTATAGCTATACATTCTTTACCGACCATCGCCACGGCAGAACCACCTATTATGTTAATATTTCAATTTCATATGTTTTTTCTTCAATTGAAAGCAAACTTGTATTGACATATCATGAAACAACTAAAGTACATGAGTCAATTTCTGCTTTAATAAATACATACCATTAATTGAACTTGGATCTAACATTTTAAATATGAGCTAATATATGAATAAAACGTGTAAATCCTCTATGTCAACACTCAATTGCAAAATTAGTTTCAGGTATTATATTTAATCCCAGTTAAACTACGTGATGTTAAAAATATATTAATCAATCAATATTTAATTATATTAAGACGGTTCATAGCTTCTATCTATAGTTTGCCATTCATTTATTTGGTGGCGGTCTACAATTTTGAGGTCGTGTAGATGTTCATATTTTCACTAACATACTTATTGTTGAAATATAAATTATTCATATATATCTATTAAAAATACAAAATTAAAAACGAATTGAAGGTGTAACATATGTAAACATATCCTATCACAATTGGCGGTGTAAAAGAATAAGGGGGTTCCTATGAAATTATTAAAAAATGCGTAGATAAATGGTTACCAACATATTCGAGGCTGAATATAAACATTTAGATCAACTTCATATATATTGTGTATTAGGGCATTTCAGGACTCCAGTTCTTCTTCTTCTTTGATAGTACGGGTACTATAACTGTGCGGTATTTCCAGACCTGATTGTACTTTCTGAGGGGTCTGTAATAATTGTGCGATTGGGCTCTCATGACTATTGTAATTAGATAAGGTAAAAGTTTTCGGTGATTTTACTAAAGGAAATGGCTCATCCGGACATGGCCCTCTTCCATTCTTAGATTCAACAATTGAATTAATCGATCTACTTAAATGGTAGTTTGGAATTATCTTTTCGATCGCCTTCAAGTTTGTAAATAACTTGTAGATTTCAATCTTGACAGATTTTTTTAATTCATCATCTTCTGCTATGTTCGTTAAACCTTGCTCTAGTTCATCATTGGCAAATTCTTCACGGTGGTCGTTTAGTTCGTCGTCCTGCAAATCAAACCTTAATTGCAACCCAAAGCCTAGCATTATTAAATAATTCTTATATTTTCTTAATTCCATAAGGTAATCATTTGACTTGCTTTCATAATTAGCCATTACTCTACTGTAATTAGAAGTATTAGTTAAATTCTTAGATTTAAAATTAGAGATGAATTTCGATTTCAACTGATTAAATTCCTCGTAGACCTTTCTCAAATTATTATAATAATTGACAGTTTTCACGAACTGCATCATAATACCAAAATTCCTTGCTTCATCATCCATCCCAGAATTTTCCACATAATTACTCAAGTAAACCCCTTTTGGAAGAGGCTCCCATCTTTGAATATTTTTCATTTTTTTAAACTCATTTTTTCTGCTAATTAAATTATCTACATTGTTCCAACCATACTCAATGGATGAAATACTTTCTTCAGTGGTAGGAATTGCTGTAATCTTCGACGCCCAGAAATTACATGTGTTAATAAATTCTAGGGCTATCTCTTTAGTTCCCGCTTCAAATACAAATTTTTTGGGTTGTTTATTTGAGACTTTTGGAAAAGATAATGACCATAAGATGCTTTTCTTTTTCGCAGAAGTTGAAAGTAGCATTCCACTTGAATGTCTTTCGAATTGTGCATATGTTGAACACAAGTTATATGAGCCAACTTTTGCAGCATTCTTCAACCAGTTACCATCACCTACTTCCGAAGAATCGTTATCATCGTTATCAGTATTTTTTTTCATTTTCTTTAGTTTTTGTTGTTGCTTTTTTATAACTTTAGGATCAAACGAGTATAAAGATAACTCACCTTTAGAAACGACAACGAAATTTTCGGTATATGCGGCAGATGATGTTTGATTACTGTTTGATATTGCTGAATTTGTATAAGTGCTGGACCTAAAGAGGGATAAAAACCTTGATTCATTAGACGTACTTTTACGATCAAGATCCAGGTTGTTATCTAGGTCGTCATTGATAATTTTCAATTTTAGTATTCCCTCTTTTAAATATGGAGAACCTTCAAGCTCTAATGTTAAATCAAATTGATCTTGATAATCATCAACATCAAAGTCGTCCAATTGTTGAAGCAGTGCTGGTTCTAAATCAATATTAAAGATCTTCATTTCATTAGTGAATGATGTTACAGATAGATTATCATCCGGGATATTAGAAATTATTGTATCTCTCGAAATCACTGATGCTCTGGATGATTTCTTGAACAATCCTTTATTTCCCATTATTGAAGGATCCAAGGAAGGGTGGCTCCTTAATGTGTTTGTAGTATTAACAGAAACAAAAGAACTATTGCTTGAATAAGTTTTTTGATTTTGCTCTGAAATCAAGGCTCTTGCTAAACCAACTCTATGATTCTTTTTGTTAGGAACTCTTGAAGAGAATTGAGATACACCTGAACCCGTTTTTTTTAATGGCTGCATGTACAATGAAGAGCGGCGATTACCGCTTGTATCAGAAGACCAAATAGAGGAAGCAGATACTTGTCTAGATAATACGGGCGAATCACCTTCCTCATGCTTTGCATTTGAATTAGACTCGTTCTCTGGAATACGTCTAACGTATACTTTATCCTTGTCACTTCCAACGTCCAATTTTTGACTTGCTTGTTTTAAATATAGTTCATTTCTTGCCAAATCGTCGTAATAGTCACACAATTCCTTTTCAATAGCAACCTTTTGTTTGATTGATAACTTTTTAGGTTTCTTAGGATTTTGGTTAACAAATGTGGTAAATGTGTTCTTAATATATTCTGCTTGACTAATCTTGCTTCTCTTATTTAATTCACCGTTATGCAAAGAAGTATTCAATAAGATCAAACTATATAATATAATGTATATCTTTTCAAAATTAGTGGTGCAAAATATATTACTCTTGTGCTGGTTGACATAAGACTCGGTAAAGGCAGATAAAATTCTATCAATTTCTTGAGACTCACCTTTTAAATACATTTTCGAACAGAGCATTCTTGTAGAAACCAACAAACTAGGGTCCCATTTAAATAAGTCCATGTAGATCTGTCTAGTCTTCAAACTTTCTTCATCATCAGCAGCCAAAAACCGAGTATATTCTTCAGGTTCAATCGTGACAAATTCTTCTTTGAAGAGTTTCGTCGCATTATCTCTATACACCTTTTCTTTCTCGTCGATAATCGAAGCCTCCTTTTCATCAGATACGTTTTTCTTCTCGGACACAGATTTCAGATCTTCTTTATCTTCCCCGTTCTTGTTGTCACTGTTTGGCTCATCCTGTTCGTTCTCCGTTACGGCTTTTGTCGCGTCTTTATCAGTCTCCTTGAAATTTGGCTTGCTGTCCGAAAACGAACCATTTCCAGTTTTTTCTTCTGCTATGACGGAAGTATTCTCGCCGTCAGCCATCGGAGGTGAAGTTTTCTGATCGCCTAATACTAAAACTGGACCAGTATTAGATGTCGTCTTGGGCGATAAGATATTATTTATGTTTATCTTTATATTTTGGCCTGTAGTTTCAGTTTTACTCATTGGAAAAATTGATGGATTGTCAATTAAATCTTTTATAGACATACCTAATTGCCAATTAACCCTATTGAATCGGCCTCTATCGTCTATATTAGCTATATATGTATTTCCTTAAGAAGGACATACAAAAATTGTTCCTACTTGTTGACGATTTTTCACGCGTGCATATTCCAGCATCTTAGACCTCGTCTAAACAAAAGAGGAATATTACTATAATAGACAAAATTAAACGGCTTTTTCAATCCATAAGACCGATGAGACATAATCAATTACAGTTTATCTAGAATAATAATGGATTATACCGGTTTAGATAGCAGTTCTGTAAAAATACATGTCCATTTAAATGAGATATTGAATTCCGATAAGGAAGTCAACGCCACTTTGATAGAGAACTACATTTTGCAATTACGGAATAACCGTTCGATTATTTTTCCCGATGAACAGTCAGACGGAGGTATTGAGCTGAATAAATTCATATACTTATTCGTTCCAACGATTAATAACTTGTTGAATGGAGAGCATTATCATGAGATAGACCCTGAACGGGCGGTGATAGGTTTGTTAGACGCAATACTAGCATATTTGAATATTGAGGAGATCTTGCAGTTATATCCGGTAGATTTTATAATAAATGGATTGATGGCAGATTCAGCTATCTGCTGTATGATTATAAGAATATTACGGAATAATGCCAAGTCTGAAACTACAAACAAGTTATTCAATGAAACTACGATATTTGATTCAATTTTATCCAGATATTTTGAAAAAGATACCATATTAAGCGTAGTGAATCAAGTCGAATTGCTAATCTCTGAATTAGTAAGTATTTCAAGTACGGTTGTATCTACGAAATTGTTGAGTGGCGAATTTAAAGCATTATATGATCAAGCAAGAAACAATAAAGATCAATTGGTGAAGTTTTTGGATTATATTCTCTTACTTGTGCCTTATGTTTTAGAAGAAAGCTATGATTTACCAAAGAATTATTATATTTTATCATATCTGGAGTTTTCGGACAACGATGATGTTTTGCAAGTAGTTTTGCTAATTCAATTCTACAGTAAATTAATTCAAAGAATAAATACCTTTGGTGAAGATACTAAACTTTTCCCTAATATTAAGCCATGTTTGAAGGATTTAATATTATTTTTCAAAACAAGACAAAATGATGATATTGTCCAATCTTTTTATTCAAATGATATTGTTGACGTCTTATTTCATCTATCATATTCCAAAGTTCCCCAGGTTATTGTTTTTAATAAAGAAGTCGTTTGCCAATATGAATTATTTAAATCTTATAATCTATTCTTGCATTTAGACTGTGACATTAAATTGTTGAGCACTTTTAATCCACGAGCCTTACCACTTGAAATAGTTGAAGATATTGTTGATGAAATATCTGTATTCAATCAAAGATATTTTAGTATCCTATTGAACTGTATTGGTTCAGAACAAGTCTTTAATAAACTAACGCCAAGGTTGAATACTGCCGCAGTAAGCAAATTATCATTTGATATGTTATACAGTTTGTTATTACGCATGTCTAAATTCGAATACTCCAGAGAGTATTTAATAAGCGGGTTGCCTAGTATAGTTTCAGACTACTTAGCTAATCCTCCAAATGTCTCCGAATCTGAGATTTGGAATTTGAAAAAAGATACCTTACAGAATTTACTCTTTAGTGATACTGACTTAAACGTTTGGCATGATCCAATTTCTAAAAATTTCAGCCTCATGTGTAATGGAAGAAAGGTTCAAGATATATTACCACAAGTTGACATAGCTGATAGATCGTTACAGTAAACAGGCTCTGTTTTGTACTTCTTTTCATGGCAAACCTCATAATCTTAAGGAAAACGTTCAATTATATATATCTAATAAATAGTATATCTATATCATATATCGCAATTAACCCATGCATTACCACAAATACATGTTCTTTGAAACACCATAGTCCACAAACCAATATTGGTTGGAGAATCAAACACTAGTGGATCGTTCACCAATGAGAATGATCTACATCTCGTACACTTACGAAGTTTTGGTAAATTTGTAGTTTTCCTTGAAGCTTCATTGGATTCCATAGAAATGACCACTTTTCTCAATGCATCGATGCATTCATTGTGGGAAAATCGTAACCTTGGTACTACTTGCTTCGCAGTATTAGGGTATTTGAGTATTACAGGTCGTTGATCAGTTGGGAATTTTGTTTCTCCATAATTTGGATTGAATTTATTTATACCAACATCAATCCAGTCAACGTTATAAAAGTAAATTTCTGACACCTTCATGTCTCTAATAACATAGGCTGAATATTTTTGAATCAAGGCACTTGCAACTGGAAGTATTTCCTCTGATAATTCACCCTGACAAACTAATTTTTGTTCAATCTTCAAGCCATAGCCCTTCTCTTTGCCTTCCACTTTTTGACTTATTTCTTTCGTAATGTACGTATCGCACTCTCTTAAAAAGTTTTCAAACAGTCCTAAATTCAATGGAGATTGATTGCATACTGTGAAATATCTACTCAATGCCTCTTTCATAGGAGAAAATACTTTATTTGATTCAGATAAATCTTCATTTAATTTTTTTAGAATTTCATGTGTTTTTCCAATCGAAGATAAAGCATAAATCAAAAATAAGCGTGGTACTTTACTCAAAATAATTGGAAGAACTGTAGAATTGGACATGGTTAATTTGCTTTGCGACGGATCTTTCTTACTATAAGATAATTGCAATAATTCTTGATTGAAATACACCATTAAATCTATCAACCATTTAACATTTCCAACTAAAGACATAATACACTCACCTCTAGTTATAGAATCCTGTAAGCTATCGTCAGCCGGTTTCTTTTTTGAGATCTGTCTATATATACTTGACAACAGAAACATTATTCCAAAACTTGTACTTCTCAAGTTTAAGACTATCCAAGCAATATCGCTGATTATATGATCGTGATTTTGTAACTCACCTAGGACTAATTGCAAAGATAGCAATTTTTGTAAAGGGGGATTAGATAATAATTTATCAACTGACTCTTTTCCAAATGCATCTAATTGAAAATTAATTGCCTTATGAGACTCGCAAATAATTGATTCAATAAATTTATTCAAAATCGATTCAATGCTATGCTTCTTATCAGACACATTTTTATTCAATAATACACTTACTCGCTTAATTTCACTTTGAATTAAGGCCAACAAATCATCTGCACAGGAATTTGTATAGCATGCATACGAATGGCGGAATGCAAACGCAGCAGAAGTAATAAATAATTCTTTAGGTGATATTCCATGGTCGGTATTCTTCTCAAGCACCTGTAAATCCAATCGTTGAGATTTATTATTAATTCTAGTGTATGCTATTGATGTTAGATTTGGTGAAATTACTACCAATATAGGATTTTTATCAGTAACCGGTATAGTGGGAAAATTGAAACCAGCATCGAACATGGTTGACACAGTCTGAGGGATATCACCATCTTTAGTATTATTTAGTTCTGTCTGCGAGCGGTCATTGACAATTTGTAATGAGGTTCTATCTATAACATCAATTCCACCATGAGTATAGATTAGAACAATGAAAGAGTCGGCCACAGCAGTTTCAATTCTTTGTATATGTCCAGGTCTCGTCATCTTGTCTTGTAATACCAAACTATAATCTTTTATTTCATCAGAGAGAGATGCCGATACATTTTTTCTCATACCTAAATCAGCAAAAGCTTCTGATACTAAATCCTGAGAGTCAGCTAAAATGTACCTGTAAATCACAGTTGTCATTTCCGAGGTTTCATTCTCGTATTTATAGCTTATCAATATATCTGGTTTCAGATTCAAATCAAAGCTTGGGGATATAATATCTATCGAAGATATATGCCCAAGCTTGATATCTTTTGGCTTAGGATCATCGTCATTATCAATATCCATAATGTCGTCTCCAATTTGGGTTTCCTTATTCAGTTCAGATATATTCGCAGCGATCGGTTTCATTTCATGCAACGTCCGTAATGATAATGAAGGGGATTTCTGTGCTTCTCTGGGGGTATGGAAATGTGGGTCCACTTTCTGTTTCTGAGCTGACTCAACCAAGAACCCCCAATCAATAGAAATCAAAAAAGTTTTTATGCTGTTAGAAACTTCATCGTAAGCAGATACAATTAAGTCTTTATCATTCTTGAATCCTATAGACGATTTAGTAATAATTACTGAATTTGACAGAAACAGTAATTTGACTGATATTTTATGGTATTCCACTTTATGTTCACCTTGAAAGTACAATATACATTCACCATTCTGTCTTAATGCAACACATGCCTGCTTTGTAGAAATCGGATGGCATGCTCCATGGGGGTTGTGCTGGCCAACTCCGTACGTGTATGCAAAGGGAGGCAGAGACAGCGATTGCTGAAAAGAGTTGTCCGCTTTCTTCAACACAGCAGGCTTGTTTATAATCTGGGGCTTCAATATATTAAGCCATTTGAAAGAAACTATCTGCGACATTGAGGCCATTCTCCCCGTCAGTTGAGGGTCGATGATATCTCTATAAATCATTTCCATATGATTATAGGACGTTAATTCGTAGCTAGGCGAACTTCCTGTATTAGGTCCAGACAGGCCATTAATTTTACTTGATGATCCATTGATATCCTTATTATCCAATAGGCCAACACCTGCTAATAATATGTAGAAATTACCATGAATATCTGCCACTGCTAAATCAGTACTTAAGTTACTCCATGATACTAGTGTCAATTCTGGAGCCAGGTTACTCTCAGCCATGGGTCGAACGTTAATACCTTGATTATTTGCTAATTGCCAGGATTTTCCATCCACATTCTCTAGGTAGGTTAAATATAGATTATATTTGGAGTTAAGTTCTGGAGCTGCATAGGCAATAAATCCATTTTTAGACCAAGATATTGTCTTGGATATCTTCTGACTCGGTTCAATCGACCGTGAATTTATTATCGAATTATTCGCCTCTTCCAATGACGGTTTCTCATTCGATGATACAGTCATATCGAATGTATGTATCTCTTAACACTTAAAAATATAAAACGCTTAGTTTCTTTACTATTAAGATGAATTTCCAATTACATGCGCATGAAAAATCGACTCAAAATAATTTATAAGCTTAACAAGCAAAATTTTGTTTTATCATACATTTTAATAACTATTTACTATTGTAAAATATCTATGGAAGATCGCCTGGAACAGGATAGGTAGAAACCCAATCCTTAACTTCAGTAGCTAATTCTTTTACAACACTACTGTCGTCAGCCAATTGCTTGAAAGAGGCCATTAATTCCTTTGGAGAGTTACCTTGTTCTTGAGCTTTCAAATCAATTGAAATTTGAACAGCCTTTTCAAAGTATGTAGCAACCTTGGCAAATTCAGAAGCACCGAACCCTCTGGTGGTCATGGCTGGGGTACCGACTCTTAAACCCGATGGGAATAAAGCAGACTTGTCACCTGGAACAGTGTTCTTGTTGGCAGCAATGTTAACTCTTTCCAAAACGGCTTCAACTCTAGCACCATCGATGTTCTTAGATCTTAAGTCAATCAAGATTAAGTGGGTATCAGTACCACCAGAAACTAAAGTGAATCCCTTGGATTGCAATTCACTGGCAAAGGTAGAAGCATTTGCAATGACATCCTTTTGGTATTCCTTGTATTCTGGGTAAGAAGTTTGCTTCAAGGCGACGGCTAAGGCAGAGATGGTGTGGTTGTGTGGACCACCTTGGTGGGCTGGGAAAACAGAGAAGTTAATCTTCTTGTCTAAGTCATAAAGGATTTCCTTACCCTTCTTGGTGACCTTTCTAACACCCTTTCTGTAGAAAATCATAGCACCTCTTGGACCTCTCAAAGACTTGTGGGTAGTGGTGGTAACAATGTCGGAGAATGGGAATGGCGAGTCAGTGACACCAGCAGAAACCAAACCGGAAATGTGAGCCATGTCACTCAATAAGTAAGCACCAACCTTGTCACAAATTTGTCTCATTCTCTTGTAGTCAATGACTCTAGAGTATGCAGAGGCACCAGCAACAATAACCTTTGGTCTAAATAACAAGGCGTTGGCTTCTAAGGTGTCGTAGTCAATTAAACCAGTCTCTTCATTCAATCTATATGGCATAGTTTGAAAATACTTGGAGATGTAAGAGATTTTTGTGGTTGGGGTCTGGTAACCGTGAGATAAATGTCCTCCATGAGGTAAGTCCAAACCCATGATTCTGTCACCAACTTCCAAAACAGCAGAGTAAGCATACAAATTGGCTGGAGCACCGGACAATGGCTGCACATTAACACCCCATTCTTCTGGCTTCAAGTTGAAAGCTTCCAATGCTCTCTTTTGACACAATGACTCAGCTTTATCTATAATTTCGTTACCACCGTAATACCTTTCACCTGGGTAACCTTCGGAGTATTTGTTTTGCATTTCCGATCCTAACAAGTCCATAACGGCCTTGGAAGTAAAATTTTCCGATGGAATTAAAGTAATGGAACTTTTTTGTCTGTTTCTTTCTTGTTGTAAAATTTCGGCCATCTCTGGGTCGACATCCTTCACAGTTTTTGAGATCAATGCTTGTGCATTAGTTGATAATGCATAGCATCTGGAAAAGGATCCAGGTAATCTCTTAGAAGAGGTTCTCAATGTACGTAAAGTTGCTGGAATCATTATGCCTATGGCTGCGTTGATCAATTAATGTATTAACCACTAAATTCATACCATCTCCGAACTTATATAGATGAGTCGACAGATGGTGAGTGAAAATTCGGAGTCACAAAAGCACGGGATATGACTCCGTGGAAATTCGGAGTCAGTTTTGTGCTCGATCCCGAGTCGAATTTTTACAACACTAAACACCCTTAACTAGCGTACTATGGTCAAGGCCACAGGTTGAATCGTCACAAACTCCTATATTATTGAACCAAACATCCTTGAAACAGTCACTGATACCTGCGCGCTTCAGCGAATCAACCTCAAGTAGCTTGGTCACCAAATCATGCGATTCTGGTGGTAGGCAGTCAGAAATAGTTGCAAACCCCAGTTCGCTTGAATCTTTGTTGCCATCGCGGTTACAATAGGCCACATACTTGCGGTCAGATAACCTTGCAGACTTCCATGGGAATTTCGCGTTGAGCATGTTAAATAGAATGATCCCCACCGACCATATATCGGCCTTTTTTCCGTCGTAGCGAAACCGTGCAACGGTTTCGGGAGCTATGTAACTATCAGACCCCACAAGGCCAATGGCCTCATATTCTTGGTCGCCATAGACTCCTGTATCCGGGTTCCTTGAAAATTCGAATGCAGTAGCTAGATCAATAATCTTCAACATTCCAGTGTGCGAGTCAAACACTAGGTTATCGAGCTTCAAGTCACGATGGCATATCTTAGCAGTATTGTGCAAATAATCGATTCCGTAGCATAACTGTTTCCATAAGCATAGCATTTCCTTCTTGTTCCTCGCTTCTGATTTCTTGCCTTTGAGTATCTTGCTCAAGTCAGCGGCTCCTGCTTCCATGTACACTCTTACGGTTGACCCAAACCACGATACCTCATCCTTATACACCTCAATAACATGCACATTGTGTAATCCTCGAAGTATATTGTACTCGTGTAGCACTCGCTTCTGGTATTCAGTCTTGGTCTCATATTTCTCTCGACAATGGTACGTTTTCACTACATATGTATCCAGCGTCAGTCTTGACTGATAAAGGTCGATACAGCCGGAAATTCCCTCACCTATTTTTTTTAGCTTCACATCTCGCCTAGAAATTTTAGCTCTACCATTTCCAGTAGCAGTTCCATCATGCTTAGGTACTTCTAAATCCTCCATATACGGTGTTAGCTGCTAATGCTGGTTCAATACCCATTAAGCAAGCCATTTTAAGCATTTTTGTGATATAGTGTGTTGCTTATGTAATCGCCGTACGACCATAAGGCATTTATAGGGATAACCCTTATCATTCATATATTCTTTTTATCAAACACATTACGTTGATATTGATAATACTTAGTCAGATACTATGAAATTATCGGTTTCAATCACCACTGCAGTGTCAATTGCGTCAGTAATTGGTGGCGCTGAAAGTTTACGAGTTCCTACATTCCAATCGTACGTTGATAACGTTCAACAGCATCTTAATCTTAATTTTGACAAGGTTCAGTCGCAATACAGCAATTTCGTCGATAATTTGGATTTTGGTAAGAACAATGTCATCGAGTCGATTGCTAAGTACTTGAATGAGCCATTATCAGAAATTCCAAAGAATACCAAGCAAATATGGCTGGAAATGATGCTTCAATTCCCAGAAACCGTTGGTAAGATGAACTTCAAGACCAATCCAAAGACTGTTACTCCTAAGTCGTCGGATATGTTTGACTTCCACGTTGAGGACACTAAGGTTCCAAACCATAAATTGAGAGTCAAGACTACCCCAAAGGATTTGGGAGTTGATGACGTCAAGCAATATACTGGTTATTTAGATGTCAAGGACGAAGACAAGCACTTTTTCTACTGGTTCTTTGAATCGAGAAACGACCCTAAGAATGATCCTGTTATTCTTTGGTTAAACGGTGGTCCAGGTTGTTCGTCATTGACTGGTTTGTTTTTTGAATTAGGTCCATCTTCTATTGGAGCTGACTTAAAGCCTATTCATAACCCTCACAGTTGGAACAATAACGCATCGGTTATCTTTTTGGATCAACCGGTCAATGTTGGATTTTCGTACTCGTCTAGCTCTATCACAAACACCATTGCTGCAGGTAAGGATGTTTACGCCTTTTTGGAATTGTTCTTCAAGCAATTCCCAGAATACAAGAAGCCAGATTTCCACATTGCAGGTGAATCCTATGCTGGTCATTATATTCCAGTTTTTGCCACTGAAATATTATCTCACGAAGATCGTTCATTCAACTTAACTTCTGTCTTAATTGGTAACGGTTTGACTGATCCTTTGACCCAATACGAATACTACGAGCCAATGGCTTGTGGTAAGGGTGGTGAACCATCTGTTTTAGAACCTGAAGAATGTCAATCTATGACTGATTCGATTCCAAGATGTTTATCCTTAATTGAATCATGTTATGACTCTGGATCTATCTGGTCCTGTGTTCCAGCTACCATCTATTGTAACAACGGTCAAATGGGACCTTATCAAAAGTCAGGTAGAAATGTGTACGACATTCGTACTATGTGTGATGGTTCCAGTTTATGCTACTCCGACTTGGAATACATTGATCAATATTTGAATCAAGACGAAGTCAAATCCAAGTTAGGTGTCGAAGTAGACGCATATGAGTCTTGTAACTTTGATATTAACAGAAACTTTATGCTTGCTGGTGACTGGATGAAGCCTTACCACAAGGCTGTCGTCGACTTGTTAGAGCAAGAATTACCTGTTTTAATCTATGCTGGTGATAAAGATTTCATCTGTAACTGGTTAGGTAACCAAGCTTGGACTGATAAGTTACCATGGTCTGGTCAAGAAAAGTTTGCCGACCAACCTGTCAGAGAATGGAAGGTGGGTAAAGAAATTGCCGGTGAAGTTAAGAACTACAAGCATTTTACCTTTTTGAGAGTTTTCAATGGTGGCCATATGGTTCCTTACGACCAACCTGAAAATTCCTTAGACATGGTTAACAGATGGGTAAAGGGTGATTACAAATACTGAACTTAAAGCAAGCATCACAATACCCGAATCCATGCGATTCATCTGATGTTTTTTTTGTTAGATATACTATACTAGAATGCAACGTATTCTGAGCAATTATTTTTTATACGCTTAAGAAATCAGTTGAATTAGTTTAATTGATTTTCTTTAAATAGTCTATGTCTACATATACGTATTGTTATTTTTTATTAACTTAGCGTTTTCTGATGTCCCGTTGAGTCTTTTCCCTTTATCTCTCAAGACAGTCGATTTATCACACCAGTTCCGCTCTTTAGTCTGGCCCCATCAGTTGCGTCCTTGACCATAATTTCGTAAACATGACTAAGCACAAACATTATAAAATAATACAATTGAGTTATTAATATTGCCATATTTCCTATAAGAATCATCATTATTATGTGAAGTTTAAAAATATTAAATCTTTAAATAGGCCGAAATGGAAAAATTGTTGAATTGCAACTAAATCCGGAATTGAAAACCAATATAATTTCAATGGAATATTGAAACATCCTTTGATACGATCAGCTCTTTACAATGCTAATTTAATCTGTCCAATCTCAGTCTAGTTCAAGAAGAGCGGTCATCGTCGTCCATGTCTACGACGTATGTCAGCACTCTGCTTAAGCGAATGAGGCGAGCATATTTTTTTCGTACCATTCAACACGCAACCGAGCCATCCCTGACTACAAAAAAATTCATCAATAAGTACGAAGATTTTTCGTATAAGGTTTTTGAGTTGAGTAAGTGCTAGATAAAAAATTTCTTTGAGGAGCCATAATACACTTAAACAGGTTTGTTGTCCTCATTTTAAAGCTCCTTCAAGATCATTCGTAATCAAAACCTATTTCTTGTCTTATCCTTTTTTTGTAATATCTTGCAATTTTTTATATCTCCGTTACCCAAACCGTTTGTAGTCTTCAGTGGATGGGCTTTAGCTTAATTTTTTATCTTATTATTCAGATATTCGTATGACAATCACCCCATTTTCCGTAACTCGTGATTCCGCTTAATTTAGAATTAAAGTTCCTTTCGATACATTCGTATTTGAGTCGCATGAAATTTATGTAACCTCATTAATATGCAGGAATTTGCAACAGCTTTAGTGAACTCATTACGTTCAGCCTTCTACTTCTTCATCCACATAGAGTATGCATCATCTAAATTCAGACACCGTGTAAATGAAAAACCTACACAAATGACATTTAATAAAATGAAGAAAAAATATTAGTAAAGAGTTTGAAATAATAATCTAGAACAAGCATGTCAGACCTCTTTGGCAACTTCAACTTAAAGACTATTTAAAGTATGGATAATTTCAATTTTATATGAGTTATTCACAATTATTTACCCCAGAGGACAACAAACAACTAAAATGCTCTTCATTTTCAGATTTGTTTTATTCTGTTTAACATTTTGCAGCTTTGTTATCGCAAGGAGTGTTGCGGATATGGTAGATATTTCGCGGAGGCATGATTCGACCTGTGATGACGAACTTGAGCCATATCCTAAGTGTCCAAAGGCTACTTTCACTCAATGGAAATATTCGAACATACCAAAATCTCAAATCAGTATAACTGATGTAGAAAGTGTTAGTAATGGTGCTTATAAAGTTACCGTGCATTTTAAGACTGAAAAGAGTATGCCTTTAAGTTCATTGAGCGAGTTGAAGATAATGACGCCAGTAAATAGCTTCTTGTTTTCTAGAAATGCAAATGTGCAATTGATTACCAACCCTGGAGATTTTACTTACACATTCACTGTTAATGCCATCAACCTGATAGACGGTACGAAAGATGAATTGTGCATTCCTGCTGTGTCGTTTCAATTTGACTGGTGCCTGGTTGGAGTTAAAGATAAATCTGAATGTAAGTCATGGAAATATGACAACTCTTACGCTATATACACTGGCTGTCAAGATACCATTCATAAAAGTGATTCTTTGTATTGCTTCCAGAAGAAGCAGTGTTCCTCGTCCAGTTCAGTGACTCCATCTAGTTCTAACCCACCATCAAGTTCAGAGCCTCCATCTAGTTCTGAACCACCATCCAGCTCGGAACCTCCATCTAGTTCAGAGCCTCCATCTA